GCTTGATTGCGACAGGAAATCGGCCTCCGCCAACTCACGGCGCGCGACACCGCACTCATTCGCCTCGCTCCACCTTCTGCTGCCCGTCTGCTGCTTTGCTGTTGACGGCTGCTTTGCTGGCTTGAACCAGGCCTCGCAGCTGCACGGCGCTGCGCATCTGGATTGTGCGTGCTCCCGACAGTGGTGGCCGTTTGTCCTCGTTTTTTTTTTTCTTGGCCCAGTTGCCGCGCCCGCGCCTCCTGGCTTCTACGGAGTAGAAGGTGGTTGGTCAAGTACTTGTGACACGCTCCAGCGCCCAAGGTACGTTGTTTTTATCCCCTGACGCGCCTAGCCTCTCAGGTATCGGGGTACCTCGTCTGTGCTGGAGCCGGCAACATTGAAGCTGGTTAGCTCCAACTGGCACCCGGGTCAAGTGCCCCGTCTTCCCCCTTTCGCCCTACAGTCTCATGTCCCAGCACCACTCCTGCTTTGCCTCCTCCCTCCTCCCTCCTCGCCTCACCTCACCACAGCGGCCGTAGTTCATGGTCCTGGTCTCCGCTTCACTGGTCTGCTCTCGCCCCAGTCACCCAATCAGCGCTCGAGTAGCGTGGCCCGCTGCCCACACGCACAGCCAGGCAGCCCTCTGGTGCTGAGGGATGAGAGGGATTGCCAGAGTGAGGGAGGGAATATCGCACGAGAGCGGCGGGAGGCCCGTCCGTCGCTAACAACCACACTTTCCCCCAAGTTCCAGTCCCGTGGCCAGCACGCCCTCAAGAAGCACGCCCTGCGCTCAAAGTACTGCTTTCCCCTGCCCGCTGCCCACTGCCCAGCGTCTGGTCGACAGTTTCTCGCCTCGACCTGCTCGTCGGTCTCCGCCTGGCTTTTTGGCTCTGGCCTTGCAAACTGCCCCCGTCTTGCCTGCTCATTTCCCACCCGACACCACACACGCACCGCACACCACACACAATCCTCCACCAACCCGCGACGCGACTCGACCTATCCATCACCACACGCCGTGGTCGTGACACGGCCCCATCGTCATCCGTCCCTGCGCCCTTCAATGGGTTTCTGGCCGTGTGCCTGCTGATCGCTAACGCTGTTGCGCGCAGCCTGTCGGGGCCGTCGCCATGAGCGCCTGGATGAACGACGCCGTCCCCAACCACAATGGAAACGGCTTCCCTCATATGAACGATCCCAACTCTGCCGGAGCCATGATGGACCACTCTGCCTTCCTGGCCAACCCGGGTCAGTTTAACCCGGGGCAATTCCCTAACCAGCAACAGATGGCTGGGATGCAGAATGGTCCCATGCGACACGGCTCGCCGACGTACCAGAACCAGAACCAGACTGCGAATCCGAATCAGAACCAGAACCAGAACGCCGTCTACCAAACCAACCCAGTAATTCCATCAAAACGCCCTCGTCCCCGCGAAGATAGCGTCACGGGCTCGCCAGGCCAGAACCCGGGCATGCAGCCGCCGTCGCGTTCCGAAACGCCGCAACAACAAAACTTTGGTGGCTTCCAGCCGGCCGGTGGTGCCATGCCTCAACAACCTCCCGGCCAATTCCCCCATCTACAGCCCAACGGTTCTGCCAATGCCAGTCCATCCCCCATCATGGGAAACCAGATGCGACCGGGAAATGTGCCCCAGCGAGTTGCTACCGCCTCACCACATCCCTTTTCGCCTGGTCCGCAGCAGCAGTTCACTGGCTCACAAGCGTCCCCGATACCTTCTGAGCATGGCACACCGCAACCAAATCAATACATGCAAAACATCCCTCCGGGATATAACCCGGGATACGCGCAGTCGCCTTCAAATCCTCGCCCATCCCCTAATCCCAATGTGATGGCTGGCGGCCCTGCCGTCGGCGGCCAAATGCTACCCCAGCAAATGGGACAAATGCCGCAGCACATGGGCCAGATGCCGGCAAACATGTATCAACAAATGCAGCAGCAGATGCAACACCAAGTTCCTCAACCGGGCCAGCAGCAACCGCCTGGCCAGCAGCAGCCGCCGCAGCAGGGCCAACCGAGACCGCAGGGCATGATGGATCAACAGAAAATGGCAGCGTACCAGATGCGTCTTCAACAACAATTACAAGGAAATATGCAAATGCAGGCCCAAATGCAGGCCCAGAATATGGGTCGCGGAATGATGCCAAAGCAACAAGTGCCTGGTATGCCGAATGGTCAAATGCCCCAAGGCGCCGTGAGACAGCAACCCAGGCCCATGGGAAACATTAACCCGGAACAATTCATGAAGAATCTTACGACCCTAATGAACGCGAAAGGATTGCCTTTGGACCCGAATCCTATTGTAGGTGATCGACCAGTCAATCTCGTCATGTTGTTCCAGCTTGTTCAATCCAAAGGAGGCTATAAGCCCGTGACTACAGGTAACGGTTGGGGGCTCATTGCCCAGAGCCTGGGGCTACCGGCGCAAATCCCGACTGTACCACCCACTCTGAGGCAAGTGTACGAGCGAAACCTGGCAAAGTTTGAGGAGGCTTGGATTGCACAGCAGAAGCATCGGCTGATGCAGCAGAATCCAAATATGGCTGGGCCAGGAACACCGCAAAAGCAGATGCAACCAGGACAACAGATGAACCAAGGGCAGATGCCACAGCTACAACAACAACAACAACAACAGCAGCAGCAGCAGCAGCAGCCGCAGCAGCCTCACTTGCAGCAACAGACTCCAATGAAGCCTGGTCAGACTCCAGTTAATGGGTTTTCGACTCCTCAACCGCCGCAACAACAACCACTTCCCCAGCAGCCTCAATTACCGCCGCATGTGCAGCAGCAACAGCAACATCCTCATCTCCACCAGCAGCAGCAGCAGCAGCAGCCGCCGCCGCCACAACAACAACCCCAACATCCACCCATCTCCAATGCCGCACCGGGACACAGGAATAGCATGTCCCGAGGCGTGGATCCCTCTACGCCCAACGACTTCTCCATGCAATCACCTTCGCATGCTCGACCTGGCAGTGTCTCTATTGATGGCCGACATGCAACGCCGCTGCCTGCTGTTGGCGCTGAGCAACATATGCCTCGCATGCCCCCAAAGCCTGAAGACTACAGCCCATGTGCAAGGGAACTTTCGACACATGGTGGGGTTGACCTTCATGCTGCTAATCTTCTCGGTGCTGAGTTGGAACGGTGGGAGCCGACTGTTCCTTCTGTAAACGAGCTGGGCAACATCGACATATCTGCCCTTACCCGCAGTCTCCAATGCGGTATTCATGGTGAAGTGCGCCTAGCTCTCGACACACTTGCTACGATCTCATCGTCACAAAACCAAGCTCACTTCCTACATCTCAGAGCTTGTGATGACCTGGTCGAGGCTTTGGTAGATTGTGCAGAATCTCAAGTGGACCTACTTGTTGAACATACGACGGAGGTGGCTGATGAGATTCAACTTACTTCCTATGAAGATGTTGTTAGAGGATGCCGAATAGAGCGATGGTCTGTGAGAGATGTGCCTGCTTTTGGCAGCATCGAGTACCAACTTGACGGAGCCGTGGACCGACTTATTTGCATAACGACAATTTTGCGAAATGTATCATTTCCTGGCGAAAACAATGACAACCACATCATGCTTTGCGAAGAATCTGTCATCAAGATGCTTTGCTCCATTATTCGGTATCTCGGAACGCGGACGATGCTTCTACGGACACACGCCAATACCCTTGATTTCATGAAAGACATTGTGGTTCTTCTGTCAAATATTTCAAGCCAATTAGAGATTCCTGGTCGAGAGCAGGCCTTGAGTCTGTTGCAGTTTCTACTCGCGTTTGCTCCTGTCCCAGGTCCAACAATGGCCGGCGATACGCTTAACTTCACGCCTTACGACCCCAGCATTCATTCGTATCTCCCACATGCGGTTGATGCCCTGGCCAAGTTGCTTGCTCGTGACGAACCAAATAGAGGCTTTTACAAGACGCTTTTTACGATTGATTCTTCATCACCCCTCGCTAATGAGCTTCTCGTCCGAGCGTTTGCCTTGACTGTAGCCCCCTTGCCAGACAAGGCAAAAGAGCAATTACGACCACCTACATTCCCGCCGCTATTCGAGACAAGAAAACCGTTTCTGATGCAAGGCCTTTTGGGTGCAGAAATCATAGCCTCTCTTGTGCCAGGATCCGAACCGGGAATGGCCCGAGCCCTTCTTGCGTCAGGCAACTGCCTCGCACAGAACCTTGTTCAGCTGATTCAGGATCTGTGCTTCTTGTACGAAAAGCCACCCCCTAGTACTCGTGGCGGTAGCCGGGCAGTAGCCGCTAGAAAAGACCCCGAGCTTGTTTATATTGTCGTTGTTGCTGTCTCACTTCTGCGTCGTCTTGCCGAAAAAGCAAGAGATTCTTCAGGTACCGGATCTGCAGGTATTGGGGATCTACTGCCGCAACCGCAGATGTTGATGGACGCGCTGATGATGCAATCTTCCGAATGGACGAAAGAGGGGTTACTGCCACAGTTAACAGCAGTGCTTAATTTGGATGGATGAGCTGACGCAATGTTGCAACAACAACATCTGATATCGACATGACTGCTTTATTTTGTACTGCGGCTTTTGAAGAGGTGGATTTCTCTTCTGGAAAGGTCTCCTCCAGCGAATATAAAAATGATGCGTGAAGGCACGAGGCATGGGATGTATTTTTTTGGTCCACCCTTAACCATTATTGTTTTTTTACTAGTTGTTTTGTCAACTTTTTGACGGTGTATCAGATGACGGCGCATAGCTAGATTTGCATGGAGATGCGAACTTGATTTGGAAAGGCAAGGCTTTGGGGTATATCCTGTAGGACAGTTGTACATAGGTACAGGAGTGTGAGACATAAACTGATACCATATGACCCTTTTAAATCGCCCACTAGTTTTCAATTGCTCTACTATACAGTTCGGTTGATCATCAGTTATGCTGTGACGGTACCAATACATTGATGAGGCGTGACGGAGAGTCGTTCACGCTATCCAAGCCACTTATATACATCCCCCCGTGTCTCCTCCTGCCTTGTCCTCAGAATCCACGCTCTAATAGCCAAGACTTGGTCTTTTCGTAATAATCACCCTAGAATCCTGTTAGCAAGCCCGCCGTCCACAGGGTCAACTAGAAATAGACGTAGGGAAACACCCATGTCAGGTACTTTTGGGCACGTACCTTCAGCTCGATATGCTGTGTCGTTGGATTAAGTCTGATATCTTGCTTGCTCACTCCGAGAGTCTCTACCAAGTCTTCTAGCAGTTTCTTCCGGTCACCATCCACCTTTTTTATCAACACCACTTCGCGGTTTCCTCCCGACGCGAATCGTCTGTATACTGGAAGCTGTATTGAAGGTGTGCGACGAACGATGTAGGAAGCGCCAGCCAGCTCTTCTGGTGATTTCGTCGGAGGAGGCGTGGGAGCGCGGCTCACGGGTGTGTAGCTGCGAGCGGGTTTAGTGGCGGCGGTGGTGGAGAGGGATCGTGATGATTGTGACCAGGAGGCGAACCGGCAGGTTGGAAGGTTGGAAGGTTGGATGACTGTGGTTCTGTAGATGTTTGATTGAGAGAGGTAGTTTTGCCCTCTGCATAGGGCTCGAGAAACATGTTGATGCATCGTGGGGTGTAGAAAATGCCCAAAAAGAGATTGGAGTCTGTCGTTGATACAGAGGAGACGATTTGCCAACTAGGTAGTCGTACTCTGATGCTGATAAAAGGGGTTCAAGTACTATATACAAGAAGTAGCTTTGAACAAATAAAAAGGGAACAAAACTTGGTCGCTGATGGTCAATTGATCACAGTGACGGGTCAAAATCGCGAATCGCTCAGAAATCGGGAGCTTTCACGCAGGCCTGATGTGAAGCTGTCCCAAAAATCTCAGGGTCACATGACTGAGGCGCGCGTCGGGTCGGCAAATCTCCGGGTGTGCAGGGACAGCCCCCCACACCACTTTGTGTATTGGCGAAATTCACCAAAAATCTGCCCCTCCACTGGATTTGCGTGTGGGCGAGTTGCGTCTTTACCACCCTTGCCAACGAACCGAGCGATTCGCGGTCTTTTGGAGCACAAAAAGAGCTTCTCGTCTTTTGCTCAAACTCTCCAAGAGGCTTAGCTCTCAAACGAACCCCTCCAAAAAAAAAAGGACTCGACCAAATTTCGCGATGGAGGATATCCTGACGGCCGTCTCGGCCGATGGTTCATCGATTATGCCCAAGTTGGCACCGCACCTTAGCAGACACCTGCTGTTCCCGCTCATTCAGTTCGAGGGCGACCAGGCCGAGGAGAAGGGCGAAGATGAAAAGGCCAAGAGGATCTTGTCGGGGAAAATCAAGCTGCTGGAGGACACCAATATGACCGACTACGTTGCGACTCTGTACTGCGAATTGCATGGCACTTCCGACCCTCCCGCCGAATACACCAAGAAGAGACAGGATGTTTTGGCGCAGCTGGAGAAATATGAGCAGGCTACTGCTAAGATTGCCGACCTTCTGACGCAGGATGAGGTTGTTAATGGTCTTCGAAGCGACAAGGTTGCCAACTTGGAGTTTCTGAAGAACCAGCACGGAGTGAGTTGGCACCCTGCCCTGATTGCCTGCGAAATTTGTTTGAAAGAGAGAAAATAGAGGTTGCTAACGGTCCTGGAGGTTACGATGGAAATGGTCAACGCCCTCTATGACTTTGGACAGTTCCAGTTCCGATGTGGTCAGTATGGCCCGGCCGCCGATATGCTGTACCAGTTCCGCGTCCTCTCCACCGACAACGACAAGGTCTCCGCCTCAACCTGGGGCAAGCTGGCTTCCGAGATTCTCTCTACAAACTGGGAGTCAGCCGTCGATGAGCTCAAGAACGTCAAGGAGGGCATCGACTCGAAGCTCTTCAACAACCCGCGCGCCCAGCTCGACCACCGAACCATGCTGGTCCACTGGTCTCTCTTCCCCCTGTTCAACTGGGAGGGTGCCCGCGAGCCCATCCTCGACATGTTCTTCTCCGCGGCCTACATCAACACCATCCAGACCTCCTGCCCGTGGATCCTGCGGTACCTGATCGCCGCCGTCATCACCGGCCGTACCCGCGCGCGAAACAGCTCTACCCAGCAGAAGCAGCTCAAGGACATTGTCCGCTACGTGCGCCAAGAAGCCTATGAGTACGCCGACCCAATCACCCAGTTCGTCAACGCCCTCTACATTGCCCATGATTTCAACGCCGCCCGCGAGGCCCTTCGCCAGGCCGAGGATGTCTGCCGCAGCGACTTCTTCCTCGCCTCTTCCGCCGACGCCTTTGTCAACGCCGCCCGCCACCTCATCTGCGAGAGCTACTGCAAGATCTTTAGCCGCATGAATATTCGCGACCTCAGTGCCAAGCTAGGCCTCAACCCCGACGAGGGGGAGAAGTGGATCGTCAATCTGATCCGGGAGACTCGACTCGATGCCAAGATTGACAGCCAGGACGGCACCGTCATCATGAACCACCCTCCCAACAATGTCTACCAACAAGTCATTGAGAAGACCAAGGGCGGATTCTTCAGAACGCAGGTCCTCAACGCCGCCGTTTCCAAGTAAACGACGTCTCCCAGACTGTGACATGAAAGGCAGCAAAAATCGCCCACTCTACGAAATTTATACAGGCATGCCGTCGGGAGAAATAAACCGTGTTAGAAAAGGGTTTGCGATTTTCTCCTCTCTCAACATCCAGGCTTCTTAAATGAAGGGGACACCTGGACAGGCATGCAAACGGTGAACAAAAAGACCAACTAGAGCAATTAGACGCGGAGGCTCTCTTTGACGATCTTCACGAAGAAAAGGGAGGATTGGCTCAATATTTTTCAACGGAAAATGGGAGGAGCGTGTGAGAGATGAAATGGCCCTGTTTTATATCATGTTTATCCCCTTGCCTTCCCCCGCCCCCTTGGTGATGCGGTTTGCATTGCATGGCGTTATTAATTTTTCGGGTATTCTGGACGGATGTGTTCCGGGGCAAGGGGGAAGTAAGTAGGCGAGGACAATGGAACCAATGCGTGTTTTGATGGGTGGGAGATTTTTTTAAAAAAAAAGTGAAGTGAAATAAACATGATTTGTTGAAACTACTGCTTCCCCCTTTCGCGACAGTGACGTGATTTGTGGCGAATGGACTTGGATCCTGATCAGCCTTGGTGGTGTATCTTTTCAATATTCTGACACTAGGGCTATATTACTAGGCATGAATGTACTTTTCATCTACACCTCATCAAACTCATCAACTCATTGAACATGCCCTCTTTGTCGCGTCTTTATGGCTTGACCGCCATGTATCTGCGCCGAAGCCTTTCCAGCCTGTACCGCTGCCAATTGCGCTGATATTCCTAAATATCTCCGTCTCGTACAGCTAGCCAGACCTGGCCTTTCAATGCTTCAATTGCACTGTCCCGCATCCACCATACGTCACCACCTGGAGCATGGGGCGTGACCTGTTCTCCTATCGTCTCTTGAGAGTCACCAGGTCTAACAGTAGCTTGGCTATCGTGAACGCTGGGAGCAGCAGATCTAAGTAGCCTTTCTCGAGCGGCTCCCCATTCGAAGAGAAGCCTTGCACCCTCTAGACGTTCTCGGTCACCGCCCTGCAAGATACCTCTCTCCATCTCCATTCGGGCATCTACGGCAGACCCCGCGTCTTGTTCCTTCTCGTTGCTCTCCATAAGGGCTGCGCGTTCTGCGTAGCTTACGCTTCGGAGTTTGCCTAAACCAAAGATCCACTCAAGTGGGTTGTTTCCCTTGCCGTCGCTGCCCAAAGTTCGCAGCGTGGATGTAAAAGCCCCTTCAGATGGTGGGCGCCGCTGTAAGTATATGCTCTGCGTCTGAGCAAACGCTTGTCTTAGCTCGTCGTTGGAAAAGTCGAGCTCAATGTCCCAGAATCGAGGTCCACAAGAAGTCGATAAACTAGAAATCTGATCTAGGGGAGGTAGGAGGCAAGGCGTTGTACGATATAGAATATGCTCAGAGGAAGAATCTTGCTTCTTCTTGATCTGTACAGACACCGATACTGGCTGCCCAGTCAGGACATCCTTCGCGACCAAGCAACGCTGCTCCGTCGCCAAAACCCAAAAGTGGCGGAAGGCTTGGAGATGTGATCTATTGTCCATTACGTTGGATGGAAAGATAGGATAAAACGATATTAACAAGGCAGCAATTGCCTTGTTGCTGGAACCAAACGTCACCGTCCCGCACCCTAGAAAAAGTGATCCAATGGCCAAGTGAGCAGCAAGATGCGATCCATATGGGATATCTGGGTTATCCCTGCCGTGTAGAGAGCGCAGTCGTCTCAGAACCAAAATGTCGCCAGTGCCTGCCATAACAATGGAACAAGATAAGGCGAGAATATCCTGGCACATTCTAGCATTTGACCTCGCGAGTTCTTCATCATACAAAGGTGCAGCATCTGGATGAGACCGTGGGGTAGCTTCGATGTTCGAGATGCGAATGAATTGATCAAGGTAGTGTAGGAGCAGATCGCGAGCCCTGGTGGAAGCACTTCCTGAAAACCGAAGGGCAATTGAGAAGCAAATCCCAGTCAGTATACTAAAGAATGGGAGATCTGTCGAGCGCAGCTTGGTCGTGCCTAGCAATTTGTATCGGGCGCGATATGGAAGAGGGAGGCTATCGCGGACCCATGTAAGTGTAGGCTCGATCTTGGACCATAGAATAAGATTTTTGGTCACGGCACGGAGGAGCAGGATATCCGGCCGCACATAATCGAACTGTAAAACAGAGTCTGGAACATCAATCTTTCGGGCCACGATTTGATCTTCAGACTTCATAAATATGAGGGCAATAGCCATAACAGCGCCAGCTGAAGCTCTATCAAGAATGTGAACAATCTCAACATTCTTGGTTGCTGTAGCATGAGCAATAAGTTTCTCCGTGAGCTTCATGTCTTGGAGACCCTTCAGATCCCCGCCCTTGCCCAAGTTGATGAGGCCTAAGGCGAAGCCAGCAGCAAGGCGATAGCATTCGCTCCTGAGAGGCTCCTCTTCGTCCTCTTCGTCAATGTGCTCTATTTCCGAGAGCATAATTTCACTCATTCGTCGGTGCTGGCTATTGCAGTACAGAAGGCCAATGCCCATAATCCCAGAGGTTTGTGTGAGAGGGGATAAATTCAGCTCTGCAGCGCCACGAGGGAGCATACGCGTTGCATGAACCGACAGTAATCGTGTGATGAGAGAGTCCATGGTACCCATGTAGGATGCCGCCAAACCCAGAAGCAATCCAATAGATGTCATCGTGTGTTTGGGCGTGAGATATTTGAATGCAACCCATTTCGCCACTCCCTTCAAATGCTCATTCAAGCCAAGGGCCAAGAGAAATCCGGCGTGCCTATTACTTAGCTCCTGCGTCGGTTTATTGTACAAGATCCAAGACGTATCGATCCCTTTGGCCTGGGGCGAGATTGCTAAACCCGCAGCAACGCCTTGGTGGAAGAACCCCCAGCAAACCTTCTCCTCGGTGAATAGTGACTTATCAACCCCAACAGTGACATTCGTTGGCTTAACTATACAATTCAAGTTAAAGCCGCCAATGTGAAACTTTTGAGTGATGAGAGGGAATCGTAAACTATAATATAATAGTCCGCGACCGGCTGGGATTGCCAGTGTACCCGTTGCTATTCTTGAAACAAGTTCTTTCTGTTTCTCCAGGTACTCGCTCTCCGGCCAACTAGGATCAGGATTCAGACGAACCACCCTGGCCTTGTGAGTTGACAACAGATGTTGAGCTTCGTTGAGACGGCGGTCGTCCTTGAAAAGAGCTCGTATCACTGCCTGACGTTCTGTGCCTTCACCTTCGTCATAGCCCGTATTATTTGCCTCTTCTACGGACTGACATAGCATTTTGAAATCCCATGAAGCCATATGGGTTGGTGCTAAAATGTTCGCCACGGATTGTCGAGGTCGTCTACTCGGCTTGACAATGAGGCTAATGTCGCTCCTCCGCACTAGGTCCAGGAGATGATGAGGCCACTGCGAAGGTGGATGTGGCTGGCATAAGGATATCGCATCTTGAAGAGGTGCTAATACAGCTTCAGGGAGTGTTTCAAGGATATAGTTCGTAAAGCCACAATCCTGCATAGCCTCAACCATCTCAACAGCTGTTGACTTTGGCCTGATTATCTTGAAGAAGCGTTTGAACATCAATGTTCGGGTAGCAATAGCGTCCCATCTCTTATCCTGTAGTTTTTCAGCCTCGGAGACTCGTGAGCTGGCGTAGTATATGTCGGCAGGCGTCATGCAAGGCTTTCCACGAATTCCGGATAGTCGGGATTGGATCCATTCCAAAATGTCTGGTCGAACTGGAGGCTGTGGTATGGCTGGTCTCAGATTAAGTTCTGATAAAGTGTTTGTATTAGTCCCTAAGGTTACCACAAATTTGGCTGTCACTTACCCAAATCATGACGAGTATCGACATCCTCCTGGATACCTAGCTCATAAATTGTGACGAAAGTTTGCCATTTGAGCCATCTAGCGAGTTGGCAAAGCAATACTCTTAGGTCAGTTCTGCCTGGAGAAACATATTCAGGTGTTGTGATATCTAATTTCTCTTCGTCAAGGAGGAGGTGGAGTGCCATAAAGATGTCCACGGCTACCTTACGTCTGGTAGCAGACGACCTGGCAAGAGACACGGGCATATACCCTTGGCGGCCCATGGCTGCCTCACCCAGAGGAGAGCTGAGGTATTCCTTCGACAAGGCAATGTGGCGCGTAAGAAATTTAGAGCTAAGGAGAGCGTCGCTTTGGTCCGATGCATTATCGGCTGTCTCTTCTTCCAAGGCCCATTGCCAGCCCTGATTCATCATCCAGGCTGGGCAGCCCAGCGAATTTGTAGTTTCTCCCAGCTCTAGAGCTCTCCAGTCCTCTGACTCTCGAATAGCACTAAAAGATCCAGACAAAGGCCTTCTTTTTCGAACAGGTAACTGGGAGGTTTTGAACGGAGAGTCGTCTTCACGACCAAGATTAAGAAAAGAACTCAGAAGGAGAACTGTTGTTGCAGACCACTCGACATTAGGTAGATTATCCTGGTGGTTCTGTAGCCATTGCGTCATATGAAGCCAGCCTGCATGAAGGCGGCCGCCAAGAGCATCCGGCAGCACACTTTTGCAAATGTCTAGGACTTTTTTGACTTGCGGGCAACTTGGCTGAAGTTGGATTCTGAGTTGATGAAGCCGACCATGTGCGTCAACTACATCAACGACACCGCAATTCCGCGGATGACGAATGCCAACTATTCCCCCACTAGTTAGGTCCATGACCTCCGACTTTCGTTGCTTGACATCTCTATCGGCAACTCTGCCCCGATATTGGATGTTTCTGGTATCGTCGACAAACAGCAGGGAGAGCGATATTTTCGTCAGTTCAATCCAAGGAGCCTGAGCGGTCAATTCGTGCTGTCCATCATCGGAGTCGGAAAGGACTAGGATCACGGATAAGTCCCCATCAACAAGTTTCGACGAGTCCACAACGCTTTGAACCTTCCACTGTGTTCCAGGTGATATCGAGACGATTGAGTACCTGGACTGGTCCTTTCCGGATGCGGTGGTAGCAGGATCTGACTTTTCCTGAGCTTTTACATGCAACGTCATCATCTGAAGCCGTTTCTCTAGGGGCTCCTGGATGCCTATGAGCAATTGGGTACGTCCTTGCTCATCTGTAGCGAAGGGCGGAGCCGTGACAATGAACACTTTGGTTTGACATCTCGCAGGTAGAGTCGATGTTGAATATCGGACATTGGAGCTATCTAGAGCGATAGTTTGAATCTTGGTGAACCGAATCTCATTCTGTAATCCATCGAAATCATGGTCATCAAGCCCCATGTTGTGCAAACCTTCATCCAATGTCGCGGCGAGCGGAGCCTCAAGCAAGCTCCCTAGACTGGGATGAATGTGGTGGAAACTGGAGCTAGAGCGTCCGTGGTGGCCGTTATGCGATTCGATTCTCTTGGAGGCTCCCGTACTGGAAGTGAGAGGCTGATCAGCAAAAACTGATCTTTCATGCGAAGCGGACAGGTCTGCTCGCGCAAGCATGGAGCTTAAACGACGAGAGCTTCTTCGGGTGACACCAGCTCCTTCGTTATCTTGTTGCTCGAGAGAGGACACCAAATCCAACGGCTTCTCAGCTTTTTCGCTCTTCCGTTGACGCTTGCCTGGGAGGGGCGCACCAAAGCTCTCCCGATAATTCTGTTGAACTGGTGTCGAAGTTCCGCTTGTGAAGCCTTGAGGTGGCATCGAGCTCCTGCGTCTGGAAGTCCTATTTTTTGCCTTCTTCTGCTGTCCAATAAATGGATCTTCATGCTCGAGATACTTCAAGCGCCAAACAGTGTAAGATCCGTTTTCTCTATTTATAGTAACGGCTAGTATTAAGGGGGCATCAAAGGCTCTGCAATCACTTCCCGGCAAGTTGATTTGTTCTATGTGAAGGATTTCCTCGGCCGGGTCAAGAAAGGCCGGCTTTTTGGACTTGTTCTGGCGTGCGGGACGGCGGCTGTAAGGTTCAGGCTCACCGACAACCAGCCCAATATCAGACAATGGATCCATGAGCGAGACGAGGCGTGGCCAGTGCGACAACTGTTGCTGCTCTGAAGGCATGTCCCACATAGTTTCCAGCGTGGAACTTGGGCCAAAATGTAGGGGTTTGGGCTTCCCCATCCCTTCAACCGAGAAGGCAGTCTGCTGTGAGCTGTTGAGTGCCGTCAGCTGTGATGATACAAAGGAGTTTGGAGGAACTCGTGGAAATTTGAGCGCAATTGGGGCAAGATTCTCCGCCTTGTGCTTTCTTTGAATAACGACTCCAATAGGCCCTGCGCAAGCGGATTCGACTTCAAATGGCATGTGGATGACGTGGCTGGTGCCCGAGAGGAAGAAGATGTGTGCCTGCGTCTTGAGAAATACGACCAATGCCTTGTCCAATTTTGGCGCGGCGAGAGCTGCTGCTTTGGTTGGAGGGCCACTGTTATGATTCTCATTGTGTAGGGCATCCTCAGAAGTCGCAAAGTACGCTAAAAGGGCTTGTGTAATGGGTTCTTTCTCGAGTCCAAATTTGAAGGTTTTTCTGAATATGCCCCCTCGGCACCATACGACGCAATCTTGGGTGGCCAAGAGCTCGTCCTCCTGTGCCTCGTCGCCCTTGTCATCCGAGGTGATTTCCCAGTTGTATGCTGAAGGAGGCGGGCTTTGAGGAAGCAGTTGTTCTTCGACGGCGTGACGCAGCCCTGACGGGTGATGCAGGCCGAGGGACCTTACCGACGCCATGATGACCAGGTTGGAGGAGATCCATGGGCGAGCCAAGGGCGGACAAACGGCAGAGGGCAGGTAGTTGAACTGCGCAAGAAGCTCCGTAGACTCACGTACTTGCTCGCCTCGGAAATATGCATTCGTTTGGCGGTGAAATCGTCCTCCCCAGGTCTCACAGTCGTCCAATGCCGTCAAGCGCTGATGGCTAGGCCAGCGTGGGATCGCGGTTGGACGCGTCGAGTGTGATAAGATAAGAAGCACTGGTCTTTAGCGGTTGACTCCGGCACCACAGTGCGTTTGCATGTGGGCAGCGGTGGGAGCTGGCGCCTGAGCTAGCATTGACCAGGTGCCTGGTTCCTGCTCGCCTTAGCCCAACCATGCAAACTGGCGTTCCAGATGCGGCATGAGCTCGTGACGTCGTTGCAGGATAAGGCTGCTTCAGCCTTCAACAGTCTAGACACACCGACCAACCGCTCCCCGTTGCACAACACTATTGCTGTCCCAGCGACATCTGGAGCTTCCCAGAACTGCCCTGTCACCACCACACTTATTATCCGTACGAATTGCCTTTTGTTTAGCTCGCTCTCAAGCTCTACAAGGACGGACGATGACTGCGAGGCTGTCAGTACAATGACTGACCAGTCCGATCGAGCTGCTGGAAGGCTGGGACCCGAACCGCAGGACACTCCCGACACTGCGCCCGACGATGAAGCTGTTAACGACCCGGAGACCCCTGTAGCTGATGGCCGTGGAGAGCTCGTAAGTCTAGAGGGAAATGAGCCATGCGCCGCTTCCGCTGGCCAAGGACGTGGAGATGACGACAGTGAAGGGGAGCAACCAGAAGAGGAAGAGGAAGAAAATGATGAGGAGGATGAGGAGGATGAGGATGACGAAGACGACGAAGATGAAGAGCCGCGTCTCAAATATGCTCGCCTGACCCAGAGCTTGAGTGGCTTGTATCGTAATGGCGATGCGACGAGCGCATTTCTGGTCGGAGGAGACAAAATGGTACGTTTGTTCCCTTCGCTCGCACCTATGATCTCCTCATTGCACTGTACTAACTTTGACCTAGATTATTGGGACTCACAACGGTAATATCGTATGCTTGCTCTTCAAATTCGTTACAGCAAAGGCCATCCCTAACGCTAGCCCCAGAATGTCATTCAACTGCCTACTCTACAGCCTCTTCGAATCTACCACGCGCACTCTGCATCTGTTACCAGCATCTCGATATCTCCATACCCCCCTCCGCTGCCACACGACCGCATAGAAACCCCAGCACGGCCTCAGCAGCCCCAACCCCAACCAAGTCCGCGGCCAGATGCGTCTCCTGCCGGGGCGTCTAGGAGACCAAAAGAACCACCACAACTGCCAAGAATACCCTCCAACGATATCTACATTTCCACCTCATCTATGGATGGCAATGTTTGTGTTCAGTCGCTTCTAGACATGAAGGACGTTCATCTACGAAACTTCGCCCGACCCGTCCAAGCCGTTGCGCTCTCCCCGGAGTTCAAATCTGACCGTACATATCTATCCGGCGGTTTGGCTGGCCAACTCATCCTAACGGTAGGCGGTGGCCAAGGGAGAAGTACTTCCACAACGACCGGAACGGCTGTCGCGGCTGCATCTGGCTGGCTGGGCACCATGGGCTTAGGGACAAACACTGGCAAAGACACGGTTCTGCACTCGGGAGAAGGTACTATAAGCAGCATTAAATGGTCGCTTTCTGGAAAGTATGTGGCTTGGTTAAACGAATTTGGGATCAAGTTTATGCGCTCCAAGCTTCACCTTGAAAGTGCTGAAGCCGAGGGAGCATGGCATCGGATCGGACACTGTGATCGACCACAAACAGAGGAGTGGGATACCATGGCGAGCGTGTGGAAAGGTCGACTAGAATGGGTCGATGAGCAAGCCATTGAGACTGATGAGTCTCGGTTTTCAGGAGACGGTGCTGTCAACCTCGTAACCCCGACTCCCAAAAAGACTGTTGAAAGGCTCCTTGTCGGCTGGGGCTCGACCATTTGGATTATTCACGTCCATCATGGGGCTACTAGTGGTGGAAGACACGGTCGCGATAAGCCGTTTGGTCGAGCAGAAGTCGCCAAGATGTAAGTGTTTCCAAGACCCTAATGTCGGGTGAATTTGGTATCTCTCTAACAAAAGGGAAGCCTGCGGATGGACTGCATTATCTCAGGAATCTCCCTATACACTCAGAGCACTTTGCTTGTTCTTGCATTCTGCCCAACAGACGATGACGATGACGATGACGAAACACCAGAAAAAGCAATTCGGGGCCACAAATCAAATATATCTGCAGGATCTGCAGGAAGTGAACCGTCTGGAGGCAAAAGACGTCGCCAAAACAACCAACCTCCCGAGTTGAGGCTTATCGATCTTGATTCTCAGATGGAAGTAGATAAAGACCGGCTTGGCGTAAGCAGGTTTGAGCGCCTCGGCCCGGCAGACTATCACCTCGGCCTTCTTCCAGCTCAAGCAGCAGCCACCGCAGTCGCATCTAAAGGCGCATTAGAAGCTCTTGCTGGTTTCGGCAACGACATGTGGAATGCTGCAATTAATCCAAAGTCGCTTTTTAGTTCTGGTGCTAGTATAATAAGCAAGGATAGCGGAGAGGACACCGCCTCCGTCTCGAAGACGCTCAGTGCGACAGGAACACTTCGAAGGGGGCAGGTCAAGGGCTCAGGTCCCGTCACTATTCACCCAAGTTTGACCAAGCCGGGCATCAAGATATTCATACACAGTCCGTATGACTGTATTCTTGGTACCAAAAGAGATCTGGCGGACCACTTGGCCTGGCTCGTTGAGCACGAACAGTTCCATTTGGCATGGGAGCTGTTGGATGAAAACCCTGAAATTATCGCGACAACACCAGAGAGGCCCGGTGACGTACCACCGGCAACTCCATCAAAAGGCCAGGCCGCTGTGGACGAGTTCTTCGATGGTGACTCGGTCGTGGAGTCCACCCAGCAGGACATTCACTCCCACTCCGTTCGGGAGAAGAGACGAATTGGAGAGCTGTGGATTCAGCAGTTGATAGAGAACGGCAACTGGCGACGAGCAGGAGAAGTTTGCGCCAAGGTGCTTGCTACTCCAGGCCGGTGGGAGAAATGGGTGTGGACATTTGTAGGCGCCAAACACTTTGACGAAATTACACCGCATATTCCATCGCAGACAATGCACCCCCCTCTTCCAACCACAATATATGAGGTAGTTTTGGGACATTACATCCAGAACGATAAACCTCGGTTTCGGGAACTGCTGGATCAATGGTCAACAGACTTGTTTGACGTCAGAGCCATCACCACAGCTTTGGAAAATCAACTCAAATTTAGGGATGTGCAAGAGGATAGCATCGAAGACGGAGAGAAGGGTAGGGACTGGCTGATTGTCATGGAAAGCCTGGCGCGGCTTTATGAAGCCGGCGGGCGACATCGGGAGGCCTTGAAGTTTTATATCAAGCTTCACGACGCTGACTCCGTTTTCCGTCTTATTCGTGACCGCCATCTCGCCGAGGCCGTTGCTGATGATATTCCGGGTTTCATTGGCTTGAGAGTATCTAGGGAAAGAATGAAGCAAATGACCGAACAAGACCTTGTCGAAGCGACTTCGGAGGCCATCACCTTGCTTGTAGACGAGGCGCAGCATGGACTTGTTCGTCCTGATGTCGTTGTCGAGCAGCTGGAGGCTAAAGCGCTCTATTTGTATCTCTTTTTTTACCTCAAAGGCCTGTGGAGAGGACAGGGCATCAGAGAACACTCTGCCGAGAATATTGATCGACTAGTTATGGATAGTCAATCCTTGGTGGACAGCTATGCCGACTTGGCAGTCCACTTATTTGCAACATATGACAGACCACTCTTGATGGAGTTCCTCAAATCATCTACATCCTATACTTTTGAAAAGGTAAGTTGAGGACTTGTTGCGGGTTATTTTCAGTGAAAGATGGCTGACGAGATGCAGGCTGTGCAAGAATGCGAGGCATGTTCATATCATGATGAACTTGTGTATCTATACTCCAAGACGGGCCAAATGAAACGAGCTCTGTACCTTATTATCGATCGTCTGAAGAACGTGCAGAAAGCGATCGAGTTTGCCAAGGAGCAGGACGATCCAGACCTGTGGAATGACCTTCTTGATTATAGTATGGACAAGCCAAGTTTCATTCGCGCCTTGCTGGAGCAGGTCGGCACTGCCATAAACCCCATTACGCTGGTGAGAAGGATACCCGAGGGCCTTGAGATCCAGGGTCTGAGAGAAGGCCTGACACACATGATGAAAGAACATGAGCTGCAGCACAGCATTAGCTCAGGGGTGGCTCAAGTTTTACGAAGCGAGCTTGCTGCAGCACAAAATGACTTGAGGTCGGGCCAACAAAAGGGAATCAAATTTGAGGTGGTACAGCCAGGTACAGCCAAATCTCCAAACATGTCCAGCAAAGGCCAGGTCGGGACGGACAAAGATGTTGGTGACAAGTCAGACAACGGGACTCTGCAACACCGCCATACGGCACCACAACCTGGACGCTGTGCGAGCTGCCACGAGCCATTCACCGAGTTTGAGATGGAGACGATACTTGGATTTGCTTGCGGTCATGTGTTTCATGTCAGCCACTTGCTCGAGCTTCTTCACAAGGGAAAAAAAGCGGACATTGATCTCGGTGGAGCAGGCAGTGAAAATGGGCGGTACTCGATCGGCATGAAGGTTATGAGAGCCAGGCTATTACGTGACAAGGTTAGAGAGGGCTGCCCGATTTGTCATTGAGAGCTTATATCCATTGCGCAGGGTGCCACCGGTAACACGCTGTGAGGCACTTTCGACCCGTGGTTTGTTCCCTTTTTTTTCTTTTCCTCCTTTTTTGTTGAGGATACATACCATCATTAGCGACCCTCATTCTGATCTTCCTTTGTCATGAAATTTGTCTTGAGAGGCTTGTATTTTAGGGCGGCGGTTCCCCTTGTCATTGTTCTTTGGAGTCAAGATGAGTTATTCGGCTTTGATACCAACTTTACGGCCTGTCCGGCCTGTAAAGCGTAAATAGCGTACATAGACGGGATTCGGGAGAAGACGGGCATTGTAATTCTGAACCATTGATTGTATTCGGATGCTTGCATAGGAAGCTCTATGTCTAACTATAGACTATTACGTATGCCATATCATATCGACATTGATCAAAAATGCAATACAAAGAATCCTGGTATGTCCCTATTTTGGCCTGATTTAACCGAAACGCATGAAAATAACAAAAAGTAAGCCACGCATAAATTGCAACCTTTGCCTCGACGCCAACAGCTTGAAACAACTCCGGACTAAAGAACCACGGCCATGGCGAGGATGAGAGCTCCCCAAGCCACGCTGGGGAGGGCCTTGATATCAGCAGCTGCAGCCGCAAGGGCAGAGCTAGTTATCGCTGGGGCACCGGTACTGGATGGCCGAGTCACGGTGCCGGAAGAATTGGTCATCTCAATGGTAGGCTGGTTTGGAGGTTCCGTCTCCGTTGGCATGGCGGCCTCGGTGCTCTCGGCGCCAGCAGAAGCTGGAGCAGAAGCTGGGACGGAGAAGCGAGTTGGAAGGGGGACAATGGGGACAACAGGCTGAACGGCATCGCTGGTTTCGACGGGGCTGCTGGTCTCGGTGGCGGCAGCATCAACGGAAGCAGCTTGAGGGGGAGCTGAGCCGGGAGCTGGAGCTGGAACTGGAGCTGGAACTGGAGCGGCAGCAGAAGCACGACTCAAGCCAAGATCCGAGCTGGGGGCGAAAGTAGGGCCTGAAGCAGGAGCTGATGTCATGACAGAGACCTGGCACTGTGTGTTGACGACGACGGAGCAGAAGTTCATAGAGACGAGGAGAGCGCCTTTTGACTCTGTTAGAATATCGACTCGGGAGGAGGGAAAAAAGCATGCTGTCGCATATCATTCTGACTTACCATTTTCGGTGGCTGTTCCAATGGGTTTCGGCTCAAGAGTCTTGGTGACCTGGCCGTTGGCTACTACTCGCTGTCAGCATCCCTCGCCTTTTCATATCTGAGACTTTGCGCAGGGTAAAACACTTACCACCCGACTCGGCGACAGCACCAGTTACAAAGACGCCCAAGGCGGCGACGAGGCCGGCTAAAACGTTCATCTTGGGGCCAGGCATTATGACTAGTTTTTTTTTTTTCTCTTTTTCGCGAAAACTAGTCCTCGAGACGAAATAACACAGTTTCTGACCTGTAGTTTTGGTTTGTAAAGATGAAGAGATGGCCTTTATCCGTGTGAGAAGGTTTGCTGCCCAAGGAGAAGAAGAAAGACAAGAGAATGAATGTGAGATGTTTCTGCTAGATGAAGAACATTGAATGAAGGAGGGGTTATAGCCCGTCTTAATAAATGCTGGGAAGGGAGCCTTGAAGCGAGGGTGAAGGCGAGGGAGGAGACGAGACGACGCTGTGGTTGGGCATTCTAGGGGTCGATATCCAGGGATGTTGATGGAAATGTAGAATCGAGCTTATTTTATGGGTTCTTTTGCGTTTAATTTTTTTTACATACCTTGATTATCGTGCGTGAAGGTGGTGGTGGTTAGGGGGTTGTCAAGGGAGTCAAGGGAGACGAGGTTGTGGATGCGATGATGGTGAAGATTCAAGAAGGGAGGAAGATGGTGCTGGCTTTCAGCTGCAGACAGAAGCCGGCGTCTTTGCAACATTGGTGCCTGTTTGTCTGTTTGATGTTGCCAGCTGCAGAGGTCTGTTCTGTGGCATATTGCAGCTGGCAGACTTGGTGGAATGGTCGCGATGAGCAAGTGCCCTTGTCAGTTACGACATGTGAACAGGACGTGAGCTGTTGCGAGTGACGACATGGCTGCCCGCATGGTAAAGTTACACTGCGCGTTGGCGCATGTGGACGGTAATGGACAGTGACTAGCTAGTATAGTTGAGAATAAATAGACTTCCTGTAGGCACTTGAGATCAATTGTCTTATTACTATGGTATACTATGGCATACTATGCGTGGCGAGATGTGAGACAGGGTGGATTGGGTTCGATAGCGGCATCTGCCTATTCACCCTTGGGAATGACGGTTATATGTTCCAACAGGGAGTAGAGTGACTGCAAGGTTGAAGGCTGCTCAATTCAAGTATCGCGACCAGAGTTGGACTGACATGTGGAATTGCAAGCTGTCAATGACAGGAGCTCAACAAGAATGAGTGTCACTACCATCAACTACCTGGGTTCACGGTACGAGACAAGGCCAATTTTGGAATACAATGCACTCAATGTCATTTATTGGTTTAACGTTGCTTGCGCTTCTGGGTCTATTGTTTATAGTTTGATCAGCTTTCCTTTCGGGTGGCTGGGGCATACGACCATGACTGCGCCCACGTCCGAGGTGTTGTGATGGACCTGCCACTATATTTTTGGTGAATTGCCTTGGATCTAGGTACTGGGTATCTTGGGCATGTATTTTCCAGCACTCTTTTTCGCCTTGCTCAATGGCTGGTGTCTAACCAAGTTGCATGGAAGCACCCTGTCGTGAACATGGCCATGACACTGTTTGGTGTGCCATATTATCCCACTTTCTGTATACCTGCAAGAACCAACTAGAACTATAATTCGCAATTGAACATGGGAACAGCATCTTACAGAGAGGTCATAATTGGCACATCATCATGTCTAGACTGTGTTTTTGGGCAATTGTCTCGATGTCCAGGGTAGTGGTTGTTGGTGCAAATTTGGGCAAAAATTTGCGCTTCAGAGTAAACTCTACAAAGTACACACATACAACGAGATAGTAAGAGCGGCCATCCTCACATTTCTCAAACGTAAACTCATCTCGGATAAAAAAAAACCTTTCAACAGGGGGCCAGTCCTCCAAGCACGACTGCGTGGACGCAATATTCCACACAAAATCTCACAACAACAGTTTGTCCACGAAACACTGTAAAATATCAAAAAGAAAATCCCCAACGAGAACTATCAATGGACGAACGGGGAATCGAACCCCGAACCACTCCCAATCAACTCGGTGAGTAAACCTTGCTAAGGGAGTATTATACCATTAAACCATCCGCCCAATCAGATGTCTTCTCATGGTCCATAATCAAATCAAATTCTTTCCCTCCAGGGAAAAGGAAGTAAAAAAAAAAGCTCTCCGAACACAAACGGATAGTGCAAAAAGACAGGTATAATGGTGGAATTAAACCACCTGCGATGGACGAACGGGGAATCGAACCCCGGACCACTCCCAATAATCCAGTAAACGAATCTTGCTAAGGGAGTATTATACCACTAAACCATCCGCCCAATGAGATTGATGATAGTTGATCTGCTATTTTGTCTAATGAGGGCTTGAGAAGATTTTGCGTGGGCGAGTGGAGACGGCCGCTTCGGACGGGCCGATCCCCTTTGGTGTGTTGAGGCTAGGCAGGTCACCCGACCCACATCAATCGACTCCACCTAGCAGGTAGGTACCTAAGTAGGTACGTACACTCAAGTGACCATGTCAAGAGCCTGAATTTTATGTGTGATAGCTCTTTGTTACTTGGATATATGCTGGTGCTTCTTTAAATATGTGACTCAGGTGTGGAATCTAGTACCCCTTAGTATCCGGCTTCCAATTGGATGATAATCCCTACCGGTACTTGCTTGCAGCCTTGACACAGCAGCGGGATAGGATTTCGAGCATCAATGGAGGAACTGCATGAATTGCGGGGTCAATGATGAATCTCGAACAATTGGAGTCTGGGAATAGAATAAAATTCCTGGTGGAACCTAAGCTTACACTACTAGTAGTAATCATAACGGTATTGGTACAACTGCCGAAATAGGAAATGCATCGGGCTCACTTGGGGCTTGTCACCTTGCCGGACCTCGTGGCCCATGGTCTCTACACTGAATCTTCAAAGAAGAGACACTGATAGACGTCTCCATCACAAAGCAGTCCCGGTGACAATTATATGAGAACCGACCAGCAGTTACCCCATCACATACCGTGTCCGAATTCGTGCAAGTGTGTACCAGAGTCCATCGGCCATCAAAGTCTCCCCCATCATTCTACTTGGCATTATTGGACTGTTCCCGCAACTACTGCCATGGCACCACAGTATAGGCCTGAATACAAAATCCAGGCCAGTTTGTGTCGCCCCGTTTCGGCCAACAGCCCAGACTGCTCAATCATGACACCCACGCTCAGTGCAACAAACACTACAATGGCCATGCGAGCTATAAAGTTGGGAACGACGGCGAAGGTAATGACAGGCACAAAGACTACACACATGCACGACAGAGCGAGCCTTACAAGTACAGTGTCACCCTGCCGCTGGGGTGTAGCCTGCTCTGCCCGCGTCGACGAGATGCCATTGTCCTTGAAAAACGGTGGGAACTGCTGTTGTTCTTCGGTTGCCTTGGGCATGGGTGTCGGCCCGTCATCGACTGTATTCAAGTCGTCTGCGGACTGCATCGGCCCAGAGAGGGATACCAAGTCATTTTCCGCATCAAGAAACCGCGTCTCGTCGTCTACGATCAAGTTGCTTGTAGTCAAGTACGTCTTGTACAGGTGAATATCGCGCCACGTTGGCACCGGAATGTCTTGGACCTTGCGAAACGACGCCAAAACTTGATCTTGAGAAATGTCAGGCCAACATGGCAACATTGTACTTGTGTGTGCGAGAGGACTTACTATACTGACTCAGCTTGTAGCCAATATGTCCGAGGACCTCGGTCTTTTGGTCTGTCAAGTTGTTGCTGATCCAACGATCCTGTCGACGCGATGCTGGTATCACACCACCGAGATAGCTTCTTTTCGCCGTGTCCTGTGCTTCCAACGCAATAAGTTGGCGCTCCAGTTCTGCAATCTCGTCTTGCATGTACAAGAGCAGACGGTGATTGAGAGCGTCAAAACGACGGTAAATTGGTACGAGAGGCTGGCCGCCAGCGCCACCGGACAACTTTGCCGCCAAGAGGTGGTACCCGCTGGGTGCCATCGTTTCCAAGTGGTTGGCAAACTCTGGATAGAAAGTTCCTGTATGCTGGTCTGGGTGGACATCACTTTGAGCAACACTAGCATTTGACCGGGGAGCCGACGAACCGCCACGGTCGTAGGGCTGGGCATAGCCTCCCCTGTAAGGCACTTCGGATCCGTAATCGCTGTGAATGCTTAACGGGTTATCAGCAAGCCTAAATGATGACTGCTGTCCATTCCAGCTGAGCTGTGACTTTCTGTCGTCGCCCTGATGGCTGCTAGATACAAACGGGTGGCCGTTCGGCCTGGGCTGATGACCTGCCTGGCCGTGATCCGACCAGGTATACCCGTTTGCAATTCTGTGGGATGAGGGACCACTTGCCTCAGACGTAGATGTAGAGTTTTTTGTCGAGTCTGGCGAAATGAGATAATCCATCACACTCGGACGACGCTGAGACGGTATGTGGTTGGTGCTTTGAGGAGCAGATATATCTGGAGAGCCGACCTGGCATGGAGGTTGCTCGTCCTGGTCTTCCTGCGTATTCATCTCTGGCTTATCAGACTCTACATCCTTGTCCAACGCACTCGGGCTAAGCGGAGTCTCGTTGATAGGTGGTGTAGTGACACAGAAAGATGATGGCGGCGTATCGGCGGCATCGAGCTGAGCCCCGGGGTCGTCCTCGTCGAAACACTCATCCACTGTGGCTGGCATGACGGTACTGCTAGGAGCATGAGGGGAAGGGCGGGGGGAGATAATTTCCAAAGGGGAAGAAGAAGCAGAAGCAGAGGGGATATGGTTTGACGCAACAGAATTGTTACTGTCGTCAACAATGCCAGGAGATGGTCCTCCCTGTGCCCCTTTTGCAACTTCACAAGAATCTTCAACCGCCTCGGCTGGGGTAACAGAAGCTTGGTCATCGTTTTGAGCATGCTGGCCATTAGCAGGGACCTCTGGGTCCTGTAATGGCTCACATGTTTCGCTGGCGTTGCTCATTGTTGCGGAATGGTGCTGAGAAACACTGTCATAGTCTTGCGTAGGCAAGCCATAATGGTTCAAACGAGGATTCTAGACCAGGACCAAGGAACGGGAAATGGCAAAATTACACTTATAAATGCTTCGACAGTCATCAGATCCCCCCCCTCGAGCTGCTGTCCAGTGAGCGTGTTGCAGCCGGGGTGGGAGAATAGGAGTCGGGCCCAGGAGAGGGCACATGTGTCCAAAGCATGAGGTAACGGTCGATAATTTGATCAATGTCACACTGCGTGGAATCCCACACAGTCAATATAACTTCGCATTATGATGACCAAACTTGGCAGGGACCGCCTTCGGGCTCTGTCGTTGTACGTACCGAGACTGCCCTGGCTGCGTCTCTTCTCGTCCTCTTGCCCTGGCGCCTCGTGATCTTCGTCTCCCTTCACCAGCTCACCTTTTCGCCTTTCTACAAGAGTAACCAGGACGGGGATGCGGCCAAGAATGGGGCAAAGGTGAGGCAACGACACGTGTTGCCAGATCAGAGGAACTGCAGGATATGCATGCTCTTTGCGCCGAGACGCATGCGCCGGACCACATGCTGCTTCTAGCGAGCACTTGAGCCCAAGACCAAGTGAAGAAGACCGATACCTTTGGGCTGTATTAAAAAGACCAACATTTTGCAACTTGATCACATCGTCCCGCGGGTGCGCCCATGGCAGCGGCTTGGTGACTTGGACATAGTACGGGCATACCCAACGGTGCCCAACGTGCGCTATGCATCAACTATTCTTTGAGTGAGCAAATTGTCGTAGAACAAATTACCAACTAGGTGATTCTTACGGTTGACATGGGACGACATCAGACGAGACCGTTGGCCGAGAGTCGCAGGCCTCATGCATCATGTTGGGGTCGGAATTGGGGCTGGCTTTCGCATTGCTGCAGGCAACACAAAGGGACTTGGACTTGGCTGGCGGCAGCCGGGCCATCCATGACCGTGACCATTGATGGCACAGAGGTCCTGAGCACAGAGCATCAAATAATCAACTGCCATGTTCAATGTTTGACCAGGGACCGACGGAACACGACAAGTTGGAGAGCATTGAACGTTGAAGGTGTGCCGGCTCACAACCAGCACTGAGGTTGACCTCGAGTCTTTGGCCCAGAGACCGTTTTATTGCACCAGTTGACCAGACGCTAGTAACTGGTACGTACCGCCAGTTGGTTGAAATACCGGCCCTGCACCTGGTTGCAGTTGCCAAGTCTCCACCACAGCAATGCACCTGCACCGCCAGACCATCCTTTTCCAAAGCCAGACATGCAAATTTCATTCCGTCATCATCAGCAACTGCAACACAACCCCATTGACGCAACGCGCGTTGAACTGGATGCAATCTGCAGCCACCGTCGTCACAATTTATGGACTGCCTGCAGCCAATTTCCGTCCTTGGCTCAGCTTTAGACAACGCAGGTTGCGCTCCTCGGGCCCAAAACCTGTCAACTAGTGACGAGCACATTGCTCCCGAATGATTAAGCAATGCACACACGGCCCATGACTTCCGACGATACACGCTATCGCCAGATCTTGAAATAGAAAGACCGGAAACTACCCACAATCTCCCACAGTGAAAATGAGGCGAGTGCCGATCTCCGAGGTTGGGAGATATCTTCTCCGTGGGAGCATCTCAAAGCGAGGCTGTTTGGTGGGACGTCATACTCTTGGACACGGCGCCGTGGCTTTGCGATCGCCAACCCCCTTGTCTGGGCACTTTCGAGCCGCATCAACAATTGAAAAACCGACCGCATCTTCGAATGAAAGCGTTGTTCCCTTTCGCAAGCAGCTAAAGGAAGAGGCAAAGCTTGCCAAGAAGCAGGGCAAGAAGAAGTCAAAAGGCGATTATCAGACTGTGGATGGCTGGGAATTGACTGTGGGCATTGAAATTCATGCACAGCTCAACACCGCCCGGAAGCTCTTTTCCCCTGCAACCACGTCGTTCAACGACGAGCCCAACAGTCACGTGGCCCTTTTTGATGTCTCTATGCCTGGAAGTCAGCCGCTGATACAAAGGGAGACACTGCTTCCGGCGCTACGGGCTGCCTTGGCTCTCAACTGCGAGATCCAATCTGTAAGTCGCTTTGACAGGAAGCATTACTTCTGGTGGGACCAGCCGGCTGGATATCAAATAACCCAATACTACGAGCCTTTTGCTAAGAATGGTCATATCACACTCTATGCTCGGGACGGCATTGCTGCTGAAGATGGTGAAAGTGTCACCGTTGGTATTAAACAAGTGCAGCTTGAGCAGGATACCGCCAAAACGTTGACACAAACCGGCAATGTGCATTGGCTAGATTTCAACCGAGTTGGTGTGCCTCTGGTCGAGATCATTACTGAGCCCGACATGCATCATCCTCGAACGGCTGCCGCTCTGGTTCGCAAAATCCAGCTTTTACTCAACACTGTCGACACTTGTGTTTCAGGAATGGAAACTGGCGGTCTCAGAGCGGACGTGAACGTGTCGGTCCGCAAAGCTGACGACCCTTCTTGCAAACTGGGCACACGGACAGAAATCAAGAACCTCGGTACCATAAAAGCTGTCGAGGACGCCATTATCGCCGAAAGAGATCGCCAAATTCAAGAGCTAGAAGCCGGCAGGAGCATAGCTGGCGAGACCCGAGGATGGTCACTTGGATCGAAAGAGACCCGGAGGTTACGAGGGAAGGAAGGCGAAGTCGACTATCGTTACATGCCTGATCCTGATATCGCGCCGCTTGTGATAGGAAATGATCTGGTGGAGCATCTTCGAACTTCGTTGGCCGTGTTGCCAGACGCGGAGCTGGATACGTTAATAAATGATTTTGGATTGACCGCCAAGGATGCTCTATCGCTGATCATTCTGGATAATGGAGCTAGGGTTCAATATTTTTACAAAGTGTTGGATGGCATTGACCGAAAGATGCAAGTCGAACTGGCAGACAAGACAAGACCGGATTTGAAGAGCTACGCAACTCTTGCTGCAAATTGGGTCACACACGAACTGGGCCGGCTGACAACGTACAAAGCCGGGCCATTGGCCTCGGCCGAGCTACTCTTCACAGCGGACGGTGAATGCGCGCAAGTTCCTGCTGCTGATTTGTCCCAACTCCTTTATCATCTATGTCTAAAGCAAATTACGGGCAAGGTCGCCAAAGAACTCCTTTTGTCTATTTATCTCGAAGAACTGCAAGGTAGTGTAGAGGAGGCCATCGAGGCAAACGGCTTATGGTTCAGGGAGATTTCGGAGACTGAGTATCGACAGTTGGCAAAAGAGGCTGTGGAAGGAGAGGACAAGGTCTTGCAGGAATTTATTGGTTATAAGAAGTTTCCGCAAGGAAAGTTGATGTATCTTGTTGGAAAGATGATGAAGATGGGCCCCACGGAGCGGATCAATGCCGCGACTGCTGAGGCCGCTATGAGGGCGCAGATTGAAGCCTCACAAGGCCGAGGTTGACGTTAGCCGTTGGGCATTGACGTTGCTGCACTGGATGCACAGGTGGCTTGTATGAATAATATAGAAGAATATATCAAAGCGTGGTAATCCTTACTCACGGTGCCCAGCCTGGTCTAGCTTTCGAAATACTAGTAGAAGCTCAATGACATAGAAAGAAGGGCTGAACGCGGGGAAGACTAGATGTGACGGAACATGTTGTTATCATGGGTTGAATCATGAATTATGCAATAACCGGCCTGATTTCTAATTAGTGTTAAACGCCAGCTGAGAAAACTGATTCCCTTCAACCAATCATACCAGATTCTCCATTTGATTTCACTCCGTCTTACGCTGGCTAGCTGGCTGACAGCACAGGATTTCAAAGAGCATCAATGAATCTCTCCAACATGTGCTTGGCAGCCCCACTTCAACGTTGACCTGCTTACTCCGAACCTTCTCAACCCATGGCGGGGCACTGTTCGTCAGACGCTCGACCATGGAAATTCTGACGAGTGTGACTCAGGCAATCTCACCACCATTCTTCGCATCATCACCAGCGACCGTTTCTCGCCGCCGGCGTCGCCTGAATTTCGCCTAGACGAATACAGTCCCTCTCATCATGGCGACCTTGAACGAGACCCCCGCTGGGGACCTTGCGACCCAAATCCTCCATGCGCTGGACAAGAACTCGCCCCTCCTCTCGTCTGCCGCCTTCCCCACGATCCCCTCCACCGAGGTCAAGGGTGCACTGGATAGACTTGCCTCCCGTGACATGGTCAAGTACGAAACGATAGACCGAGAAGAAGCCATTTTAGAGCCTGAGGGCGAGCAGATTGCCGCCAATGGTAGCCACGAGGCCCGGGTTTTTGAGGCTCTGCGCACCGCAGTGGAGGGGTTGACAATCCAAGAGCTTGAAACGGCAATTGGCGACAAGAATGTGGTCAAGATTGGCCAGGGCCGAGCCTTCAGGGAGAAGTGGATTTCCAAGACCCCAGGTAGGCCTTTTTGACGCTTTGAGAAATGCGAGACTATGTTTTGGATCACTAATTGGCCAATAATGCAGATGGCAAGTTCAAGGCCGCCGTGAGTAGCACCTACATGCACGAGAAGACAGAAAACACGACAAGATACGAGGTAACTAACGGAAACTCGGGCTTTAGAAAGAGTCCATCAAGGACACCACCAAGGAACAGATGCAGACCATTCAGTCGACAAAGTCGTACCCCGATGCCAAGATGCTCGCTGATTTGAAGAAGCGTAAGCTTGTCCGAACACAGAAGATTATCAGCTTCAACTTTCAAAAGGGGGAAAAGTTTGCTCTCAAGATCCCCGAGGTGGCTACCGACTTGACGGCCGACATGATTGCCAGCGGTTCATGGAAGTCGGCTACTTTCAAGGGATACAACTTCAAGGCCTTGGGTGCCGATCAGCACCCCGGAGCTCTGCATCCCCTGAACAAGGTCCGATCCGAGCTGAGGCAAATCTTCTTCGAGATGGGCTTCCAGGAGATGCCTACAGACAAGTATGCAGAAGTGTTGGCGCACAACGTGAATGGCAAGGTTCTGACTCGTGGCCAGGTTCGTCGAGTCGGGATTCTGGAATTTCGATGCGCTCTTTGTGCCGCAACAGCATCCTGCTCGTGATATGCAAGATACCGTATGTGTATTGAAGTTTGCACATGTTTGGAAATGGTAGTCGGGCTGACGCTGCTGGCAGTTTTACGTATCGGATCCCAAGGAGGCAGACATGCCTAGAGGGGAAGATTCTAGTGATACGGCTGACTACAAGACGTACTGGGATAACGTCAAGGATGTCCACCAGGTGAGTATGGCTCTACATTTGCGCACATATAGCTCGGGGTTAATTCCGTATGTAGGATGGCAAGTACGGCTCCATTGGTTATCGATACCCCTGGTCCGGAGAAGAATCCAAGAAGCTCGTGCTTCGAACACACACCACAGCTATCAGCGCCAACATGCTGTACAAACTAGCGCAGCAGAAGGGCCCTGACGGCCGCCCGCCACCGGCTCGTTACTTCTCCATCGATCGTGTGTTCCGTAACGAAACAGTCGATGCCACCCACTTGGCAGAATTTCATCAGGTCGAGGGTGTCATTGCTGACTACGACTTGACGCTCGGTGGTCTCATGGAGGTTAGAACACACCATATTCGTAAACAGTCCAAAGGCGGTGAAAGTGTCGCTGACATGATGTAGTTTATGGACATCTTCTTCGGCAAGATGGGCATTACCGACCTCAAGTACAAGTGTGCTTACAACCCTTGTGAGTAACCTGCGCCTGAAATGTTGGCGACATGCAGACATTAACAAAGCTGTAGACACCGAGCCCAGCATGGAAATCTTCTCTTATCGTAAGTTCTGATGCATTATTTCCCCCATCCAGTAAAGCAATTTCCTCACCAATTACAGACAAGGGCCTCGGAAAGCTAGTCGAAATCGGCAACAGCGGCATGTTCCGTGCTGAAATGTTGGAATCCATGGGTCTGCCGTAAGTCGCTCAAACCCCAGCAACTTTTCATTTCTGCTAGACTTGATATTCGTCTAACCTTTCCGTGTAGCAAGGACATGCGAGTGTTCGGCTGGGGTCTCTCCCTTGAGCGCCCCACCATGATCAAGTACGGCATCTCAAATATTCGCGAGCTGCTAGGTCACAAGGTCGATCTCAACTTCATGCGGAACAGTCCCGCGGTGCGTTTGGACAAGGAATAGAGCTGGGGATTTTGTTGCAAAGCCGGCCATGAAGTTCTGTTGACGTGGAACGGGAGGGAGGGCCATCGCTAGAGATGGACAAACCCGTCGATCTAGGTGGAGCCAAGTGATGAGCATCAGAGCATAGCAAAATCGAGCCGATTTATGACGATGAATAGAGCCATGACGAGTGTTTATCTGCGCCCCGCCATTGTGAATTCGCGATGTCTGCAAGCTGAATTAAAGGACTACATGCCAGCATTGATCTGCAGGTTTCAAGCAAGAAGTCGTTTAGAAGCGCCTTGACCAAACATGCCAAAACAAAAAGCATGCAGAATACATCTAGTCTCCGAAGAAAAGCATCATCCCGTACCTTTCTCCAATCGATTTGTAACGCTGCGACGAAATGCAACGGCAAGGGTCATAAATGAATCATCTACTCCGATCTCGATGTTCGTTTCCCAGACAAGAAATCGTGCCGCCCCTGCGTCATGCCAACCAAGCTGTCGGACGCTACGCGGCGAACGGGAGCGTTTGCCCCGCGATCTCGGCCACATGTCGTGTCGATGACATCATGCACCTTTCCTGCCCCCAGTGACGATGGACGTTCGATTTTTTTCTGTTTTGTTATTAATACATCTCTCTGGCTACCTGGACCCCAATTGATTCAATTTCACTAAAATAAACACTCTTCATTTTAGAAATTACCAAACATACTTCAACTACTTGCAAGTTTTTCGGAAATCTGTCAAACATGGCCTTCCTTGCAGAACGAGCTGTCCGGTCCGCCGTGCCCATGTGTAGAACCATCATGGTTCAGGCCCCTCGGGCATTCAGCACGTCTGTCGCGATGAGGAAGAATCCGACGGAGACGGTCAAGGACGGGCTGAAGACGGTGGATAGAACCGTTACGGATAACGTTGTTCTGCCTGGTTTGGAAGCTGCCGGTACGTTTTTTTTTTCCCATGTGGCGACAGATTACTGATGGGTTGTAGCAACTGCTGGAAGCAAGATCAAGCAAGGGGCAGAGACGGTTGCTAAGGGGACCAAGGGCAAGGCGGCGGAGATGGAGGGCAAGGCGGAAGAGCTGAAAGGCAAGGCGAAGGGTGCTGCGGCAGAAGCAGAGGGCAAGGCGAAAGGGACTGTTGAGAAAATGAAGAATCAATTGTGATGAATAATTTGAAATCTGGAGCTTACTGAGGGGACGAGTGCTTCTTGTCATGATAGAGAGACGACTGCGTGTCATGTGTAGCTTGCATCAATTAGAGTCCGGTGGGATAGCGACAGCTTTCACAAATATTTGACATTCTGATTACATGTGTACAATCCCTCTGGTCCCACCAAGCCTCGCAAAAATAAAACCCAAAGTCATTTCGACAAAAGACAGCGGGATATAAAGAAATCAAATACGTCAATGGGTATTATAGTGGTGCAAGAACAAAAATACACCTTAGCAACAAACAACGTAGCACCTCAATACCCAATCGCCGGGTAGACTCCAAGGGGGCCCAGACGAGTAGATCCGCGCATGGGATGAAATCCAGAATATCGACGACCTAGACAGGATTCGTTTGGGCCGGAGGTCGTTCGAACTCGCCCAAAGGGAACACGACCCAAGTTGTTGCCGGCGTCATGAGACCAGCACTTCCAGCATAGAATGCAGCAAAAGCGCACAGCACGGCAAATACTCCTCCCGCACGATTGACACGAACCGCCGCAGTGGTATGAGTAGTGGAGATGAACTGAGCAATGCTGAGGAAGAAAAATGCCAGAACAAGCAGGCCCAGGACGGTCAAAATGGCAATGTTTGTTCTCAATGCAGCAATGAAAAAGACGAGGGTTAGGAAGCACCACAGAATCAAGAATATGCCCACGGCGAAGCTGAAGGCGTGCTCATCTCCACCGTAGGCTTCCTTGATACCAAGCTGAGGGACCATGAACATGGCAAACGCAAGCCAGAAGGCGCCGTAGGAGCAGTGGACAGTTGTACCAAAGGTGTTGCCCACACGGAATTCCATAATACCGGCAATGAACTGTGCGGTGCCGCCGTAGAAGACAGCCAGACCGAATACTGCTTGGTCAGGACCGACGCTTCCGAGGGGGTTTGAGTTTGGCAATCTGGTGAGAAATGAGTTGTAGGTCCATCTTGTGAGACGTAGATGAGCATTTGGAGGCAAACTGACTTACCCAGCACCGCACTGGTATAGGCCCAGGACAAAGGTAGTCAGAGCAAAGGCAATGAGACCCAGAGGTCCAGGATTGGCAATCTTGAAAAATTGAGGATCATACACCTGAGAGACCATGGACTGGTAAGGCTTTGGTACTCTCCCCCCAGGACCTGCGTCGGCGGTGGTTGGAGGCAAGTGATGGCCATTATGATTGCCCTCCTTGTAAGTCTGCTCGGCGGCAGTATCGTTGTTTTGAACGGGGGCAGACATTTTGGGCGATGTTTTGTAGTTATCGTGTCGCCGACAAGTAGCTGTTTGCGCTTGGCGGTCTCTTCGCATAAAGCAGCAGTACTGAAGCCAGAGGCTAGCAGGTGTCAGCGCATTGTCCCAGCAGCCATCTCCCAGATCCTTTTATAAACCGGGAACAGCAGGCAGAGAAGCTCCCCGTTTCCTCATCTTCCGCTGCCCCGAAATTGCGTTTCTCTACATGACGGTCGTGGCTGGCCACCAATCATCCACCCACGCCGGTAGCTGCTTTGCGCGCCCAACAAGGAAAGAGACTCGCAGCTCATGCGGGGTTCTATTGGAAGAAGAAGAAACAGAGTGATGGCTTATAGCCACGGGAAGTTCGGCTCGCCTAATGGAAAGATGATTCCTGCTGGAAGCAGCAAAGATGGTGTAGGCGGGCAATGAATTGCGATTCGACACCACAGGTCTGAGGCATCGGCGAGACACGCCCATAGGCTGGGGGACTAAGACGGGAGTGCAAAAGTAGCGACATGGCGTTTCGACTAGGGTGCGCCATTGACGAAGGTCTGATCTGGTTCACTGTTTCTCGTCCCCCTCGCTGTGGAACGTTGGCTTCTAGAGTTTCGAAGGTGCTTGGGTGGACCCCAGCATCACCATGCAGTCATGACTTTTGTAGGGTGAGGGGATGATGGTTTTCGTCGCGGATTGAGTTTCAGGCGGAGGAAGGAGCGGGCGATCGACAAGAGCAGACAACTGCCAAATACAGTCGCACTGTAGCCACGGTCTTTGGAGACGGGGCGTAATGGGCGTCTTGCGTAGGATGAATCTGTCATTTGGTAACTACCTACTTAAAAACAAGAAAAAATAAAATGGGACAAAAACAATCATGGGTGCGTGCCAGCGGTTCGGAAAAGGATAACGGCATTCCAATGTCCTTGACTAATTGTCTCGCCTGCAGTGAATGTTACACCGCTGTGGTTGATTATCATGACAAAGTCTACTATACACGATGCCAAAGCCATTCCAATAGGCGTACATCGCTCCATACCAGTCAATCTGTCAGTGATAAATCAATTGATACCATAAGACGCTCGCATACTCACTAGTATCTGGTTGCGTAGTACCTTGCCAGTCATTCCTGAAAAGGTGTCTGTAGGGTAGATGCGTAAGCTTGTAGGCGCAGATGGAGGCTGCCGACCAACCGTCGATCGATAGGTCCTTGCGGTTGAATCCTGCTGATTTTTCGGATAAAGACTGGATGATATTCACTCAACAGGCAGCTCGAATATCCCTGGGCGCATTAGCAATGGCGACCAGATACGACGGCCCCGGGGGGCAGCGATCCGAGATAGATAGGTACTCCACTTTTCCGGAGCCGTCAGGGGCCATAAATAGTGGGCCACACCGAAGCTGGACTTCAAGACGGCTCAGGAGACGGCGCTGTCACTCTTTGCTCGTGAGTGGATCTGCTCGGCACCATGGTGGGTGCGCCGGTGCAGGTAATTTACGTCGAGGATACTGTGCTCTTTCGACTTTATAGGCCGTCCAAGCAAGGTCAATGCCACTAGGACAGTAGGCAGGTGAAAAGACAAACCAGATGCTTCTTCTTTGAATCATCCAGTGCTGTGATCGCGGGCAATCCAACAGCGAGTATGTAACCAGGTGTGACGTATGAGCAGCCTTGGTTGAATGCCGAGTGACTGCCGGTATCGAGCGACAGCAATCTCAAGTGCAACAATTACCACTTGCATATCACGCTCTCACGCCCGAAGTGGAGCCTGTCAATACCAACTTCGCCAGCGCACTTGAAGTAATGGCCTATGCGCCCGGGCTCGAGGCCGCAGTTGACAACCGGTAAGAAGAGAGTGTCGTTGCACTGCTGCTCGTTTATCGTCGTACAGTCGTCCACCGTCTGGCCAAAGTTCTACATGGGGGGGAATCGGGTGGGGCCCGATCCCCGGACCCGGATCCGAGCCCGATGCCGGCGTCGCTCGGCGAGAACCCAGCCATCTCTAACGCTTCATATATTGTCATGGACAGCATGTGATGCACTCGTGGAAACTCTTCTTAATCCGAGCCTACTTTTGCATCATTCCAACTACAGACTCATGGAATAGTTCGGCAAGAGTCCCATATGTAAACTGGGCTTGTGGGCTGCCGCTACAATTCGACTTGCTGAAATTTCTTATATGAGCTGAAGTAGCAACATGGCGACGGTTAATTTCCTCTTGACTATTGCGAGTTACGAGGAAGACAGACCCTATTAGTCAGCACGTGGGACAAAACAGAACCTAGCATCTGCCGAATAAGTGCCTGCTTCCCTATTGCATATTGAATAAAACTACCCAATACGCATATCGTGATAAACTGTAACTAGCATCGCTGTCTAAAATGAGTTTTGCCCTTGCGAACTTGTTGGCCCAAGTTTACATATGCCGCAGATACGCAATCAGGATCATGACCCGACTCGAATTAAATATCTTTGTTTCGCGCGTTTCTAGCAGCAAGGCCTGGGGTCGGAGAGTATTGGTGTGGATTTTATAAAAATGCCATTCGGAACTCGGAAAAGAATCGACATCAATCCGCTTTGGTCCGCTGTGGATCCCCCGCACGCCGGTTTCCCGCCAACCGCCTTGCCGCCGCACTGAACGGGTATTGGCTGCACTTGCGCACCACGACATCCGGAGTGTGGAAACTTGCTCACCTGATGACAGCCTCCGTCATCGACCTCGTCCTCCATTCCCGCAACATCGCGAGCCGCCCTGGCCGATTGCCTACCCCCGGAAACGACACCAAAACCTGAATCGAACGAGAAATGTAAATTTTACTCAGTTCTTCTTCCTATGCGCGCCCCTCACAATCACGGCAATCTGCACCCACGATGCTCAAACACTCGGCTGCGGCCATCTGCTCGTCCACGTGCTCAGTACCGTGCAGTCCATGCCCACCATCCGCTACCTCAGTACGACGATTCAGCGCAAAATGCCCGCTAGCACGACCCTCCAAACGCCCCTCATCGTCGAAGCATTGGGTACTCGAGCCTTCCAGATGCTACGCAACGAGGCCTCCGAACCCCGATGACCCAAGCCCGCCGCCGTGGCCGAGGTCGCCACACCCAACCCCCTACGAGATATTCGGCATGCAGCGCGGCGCGCCGTACACAAAACGGCGGTTCTACCAGCTCGTGAAGCTATACCACCCCGACACCCACGACAAAGATGCTCCGCCCTCGTCCTCCCCGCAGCAGATTCCACACGCAACCCGCCTCGAGAGGTACCACCTGGTCGTGGCGGCCAATAATCTCCTAAGCGACCCGAACAAACGTCGTCTGTACGACCACCACGGCATCGGCTGGACGGCCGACCACCGTGCCCCGGACCTCCGAGAGGTCGACAAGGCGTGGCGACACCAGCCGGGGAATGCCTCGCGCAACGCCACCTGGGAGGACTGGGAGCAGTGGCGGAACGAGCGCGACGGCAAGCCCAGCGAGCCCATGTACATGAGCAACGGGACGTTTGCGGCCCTCGTGGTCTGCATGTGCATGATTGGGGCTCTGGCGCAGATGAACCGCGCCGAAGCCGCCGGCGAGCAGTACGTCGACTTTGTGCAGCAGAAGGACTGGGCCATCGGGCAGAAGATGCGCCAGAACAACATGGCGTCGGCGGGGAGGACAAAGGACGAGAGGGTCGACACGTTTCTACGGGACAGGGAGAACCTGTCGTTTGATTTTCAGCCTGCCAAGTACGACGACCCCTCGCATGCGAATAGATCAGGATAAAAATCATTATGACGTGAATACTACAAGCTCATAAGTGTATTTTGTACAACAACCAGCTCATCTTTGTACTTGCCAACGCTAGCAGTGTCGTGAAATCTACATCTGTATAATTTATAACCAGTTAAATGGTAAATGGCGCACCAAATTAGTCTACCAGATGCGTAAAGTCATAAGGCGTCATCATACGTCGTCATGTCACGTAAAAATATCACAAACGTACACCCTTACCTTCCCACTCTCTTGATATCATCGCCAATACTATCGCCAATGCCGTCCGTCAAGTCGGCCTCTTCATCCCTTGTCGGCCGAGACCGCTGCCGCAAGTCTATTTCCGGGGGTGCTGGGATCCGCCGCTCTCTCCCAGTCCCGTACGCTTCCTCTTCGGCGTCGAGCTCCTCGTCTGCCGACGTCCCGTGGCGTCTGTTGATAACATTGTCGATTCGTAGACGCGGAGGACCAGAGTTGAGTCGTTGGCCGTTTTTGGGCGGGCCGGCTGCATCATTATTTACCTGTTAGTCACACACGTGGCCGTACGGCATCATAGGGAAAAGGGACCCGGAAAAAAGGGCACTTACAAACTGCCAAATCAAACAACTTGACAATGACTGGTCCCCAAACCGTCATGGCAATAATCTGTCCATACGACCACTTATTCGCCTGGAAGCTGTCGGCACTAATGACCTTGATCAACGAAATCAAATATAGAATATTGATGACGAGATACATGACTTCGAGGATCCGCCAAACCCACTGCTTGAAGTGAATCCAGGCCAGCTTCAGCCGCCCACTGTTGGGCGCCCTCCCTACTCGGTAGCCCCTTATCGTGATGTGTTTTGTAGACCGGTGCGTTCTCAGCGTCCAACTCAGCTGGTCAAACACCAGGATCACAATCGCAATGGTATCCAACACCAAAAAAACCATCTTGTACAGCAACGGATGCGGGAAGAAGCTCAATCTCAGGCCCTCCACTCCCTGCGTAGACGCACAATAACTCCGCGGACTGGGATTCTGCCCACACGCGTCGATTTTGTTCTCCTGTTTGAACAAGTTGAAGGCGTCGCGAAAATACACCTTTTGCCTGGTCGCGACAATGGCCAGCAAGTATTCGACAAAGAAGCCCAAAAACGTATGCCAGTTGCGTATACCCTCGTGGTGCAGGCAGATTTGTATCAGGAACATGGGCAGTATGCCGTTTTGACTGACGTGAAATGCCACGGCAGCATTGACAATGATTTCGCCCCAGAAGGTGCCCTCCTGAGAGTTGACGACAATGGCGAGGATGGAGGCGATTTGGATGGCGAAGACAAACCAGCACTGCGCTTCTTGGAATTCGACGAGCGTGGTGGCGAGGGCGATGCTTGTGCGAGACAGCGCCGACGAGTCGCGCCAGATGATGGACTCGATACGTGTCAAGCGGCGGGTGAGGCCGCCGCGAGACGAGGCTCGCTGCAATCGCTTCTCGGTTTCCTGCTTTTTGTGGGCGTAGTGCACGTAGAGAGTGAATGCTTTGAGGAACAGATAGAGGGTTCCAGAAAAGGTCACTTGGAGAACATATGAGATGAGGACCTACATGTGTCAGATAGGGAGTATTATCATACAGGAGACGTTGACTTACACCAGGCCCAAATATATCCGGGTTAATTTCGGCCTGAAGATCTGGACAAAAGTCATCCATGGCCTGGAAGATGGCGGTTGCATTCGCCTCATGGCTCAACGTCTTAATCGAGTCATCACACGGCTTATGCAGACCATCCGCACCGCACGCCTCCTGCGCACACGCCACAAACGAGGACAAGACCGGCCTTCCATCAAACGAGGCCAAAGAACTCGAGCCCATGATGCCACTGGCATTGCGCTCCGCCTCCTCAGATATGTAGTACCGATTCGTCTCCCTCGTCCAATACGAGATGGACGACAAGGCAATGCAGTTGTAAAAGGTCTCCAGGGAGCCGAAAAACGTGGACACATTACTACACGCTTTAGAGCAGTCCGTCTTGCCGTCGACCTCGCACCCGTCAGTGAAGAGAAGGAGAAGATCCTGCCCCTCGGTACCATTTTTAATGAGCTGCTTAAACGAGAACAGGTCCTGCTGCCCGCTGTTGAGGGCCGCCAGGTCGTGGAAGGGGAAGAAGACGGAATAGTCATCGGCGCTGGGGTGAGTAAAGACTTGAATGGGCACGGGCGAGTCGGTGACTTTGATGACGGCGCTTGTAGGCACAGCCGGGGCGACGGGGGAGAGAAGTGAAGACATCTCCGTCATGGCTCGCTGCCGGTATAGAGGTTGCGCATGTGTTGCCCATTCCCTTGGAGACCAGCTCTTGTCCTCGATGGAGTCCGGGCCGGTTGCAGCCAGTGATGCCCGGGGCGTGGTGCTGTCAAGTTCCTCCTCCCAAACGAGGCGATATACCGGCTCTGAAGTGAGTGTCTCATTCCCACCCGCAAGTCTAGACAGGAAGAAGTCGGGAGCGCAAGAGGAAAAAAAGTGTGCGAGGAGCAAGATGCCACAACGCCAAGGGATTGGTGAGAATCGGTGAGAACCAGAATGAGCATGACGACCTCCTCTCTCACCCCGGTTAAAATAGTGGTCAAGCATAACCAAAGGCCAACATGGTTCAGGTCACTAGAAGCGAAGTAGAAGTCTTGTTCACCCTCCAGTCAGCAACGACGATAACGCGAGGCGGTGGGGGCGCTGCATGATTGGCCATCCAAAGCGGTTTAAGGTCGAGAAGGGAAACGGAACGCCAAGACTTTTTGGTTGTCTAGCGTTAAAGCAAGCAGGCAAGAACAGGCACGAAAATGCGCATCCAGTATCGAAGGATGGAATATGCAGCGTTGAGGGTTGCAATTCTCATTCGCTCTCTGGCTGCGGTATGTGTTGGCATCGCCTTGGTCAACTTAGCCGAGAATGGCAGCAGAAGCCAGGCGACCAGGACTTTCCAGCTCTCGAGACCGCGTTAGAGATTTCTGCCAGCAGACAGTGGGTCTATCCCAATCCCAGCAGATACCAGATTGTCCTGGATCTCGTGATCCTAGATACTGAGTATTCTGTTGCTTCTCATCAACTCTTTGAGTTCTCGATTATTGATCGTGTCTATGGCCAGCCTCTGATCAATACTGCACTGAAGCACCCTGGAAAGCTCTGCCATGAAGCAAAAGCAGACAAAGCATCTTCTTCGAGACACTTGCATGCATTTCAAGGATTTTTGAGTAGGCAAACAGCAGCAAGAATTTACTCATCGTCTCGACCTGCCATCAGCAACATGGATGTACACGAAGTAGCCCACAAACTTCGAGCGAGCAGCATCTCAAAGAATACAATCTTTCTAAACTAGGGATTTGGAAAGCATGATCTAGTAATTCTTCGAAATTTCCTTGCCGCTGGAGGCTATCAGGATATTCTTCCAAGCGATGAGAGCTGTGTCCCTTTTATTCCGCTTTACCAGCAACAGAGGATCCAGCAACCGCCTGGATACACAAGATTCCCTCTCAAATTAGAGGCTCTCTTCCCGGTTCTTTGCCCTCGGCATAACCTCTGTGGTCGCAACCATCTCGCACCGATGGATTGCCAGCAGACCGAGCTTGTGCTCGATGCTTTTGACTATCTCTGTCAGCCTCTCGAGAGCCGAGAGCCAGGATGGCAACCAGGGAAGCTGGCGAAGATCTCGCAGACAACCATCACTGGCCACTTCCAGTCCACAAAGAGTAAGTAGCCCTATGCTATGTGAAGAATTCTGTGCTGACTGAGACATTAGGAACTGCCTGTAAGCGAAAGCGATGATGATTCCGACGAGGGGCAGAAGGACTGGCTTAGCGATGACCTGGACGATTCGATCGAGACCGACTTTGCTGAGACCGACTACGAGGGGGATCAAGATATCTTCATGCAGCAGGAGGACGATGAGCTAAGCTCTTTGGAAGACGAGGAGGATGCGGACGATTTGACGGAGGATGACTTTCGCGATGAAGCGTTGACGGACATCGACAGTGACGATGATAGCGTAGGATGCGAGGACTTGATGGACGTGGATGAGTGCGGTCAAAATGAGTAGTGATTAACAGAACGAGGCAGGAGCTCGATAGATGCCTATGATTCAAGGTAGCGAAGAATAAACCTGGTGCTGGGGAAAAAGGTCTTGGATTCAAAATATGCATTGTCTGTTCAGGTCGTTCAAGTTAGAATCTTACATTGCACTCATCACAATCTCTATCTGGTTTCCGGTTAGCACTGATCCTAGAAATAAGCAAGTAAGTAAATAAATAAATAAATACCAACTGTTATGAAGCATCGTGCGCATCAAAACCACGGCGCATCATCGGACCTCGGCTGCATGGCTAGAGCCACTATTGACCGTATCCAGCAGAATGAGCTGTGTGGAGCGGGCAGGGCACTCTAGCTGTGGGGTGGGGGGGGGCGACTTCCGGCGTCAACAGTCATGAGGGGCGGGTGCCGTTGCTAATAAACATGCGACGCCAGACTAGGGCCGTGATCCTAGACGCAGCGACTAACTATGCGCAGACTGACAAAGGGACTTATGCCACTGAATTATAGTGGAGATTTTCTCTTGTACCGTCCAGACGGTATCCCCTTGGTCATGATTTTTTTATAAGAATCAGCAAGCTTACTCGCACACTGGTTTGGCGAGCACGATTGAGCGACTGACTTTTAGAGGGCAAATCCAGCGCAGAATTGGCTGAAAACTTGGCATCTAAGCCTTTTACACGCATTTACGCGGCCCCCGCTAGCTTGATACACCATGAACAAGGGGCCCTGAACTATCACCACTTTCTGCACTGGCTAGTAAGTGGGCCGTGCGAGCCTCCTTAACAAGCATACATATCGCTACACGTAATGACACCGGCACACCAGCCAAGATTTCTCCCCTGAAATGTAGCTCTTTGTAACTCTGATAAATTTTGTTACTTTTTTCATAGCCAAAAATAGGTGGAAAAGCATGTACCTCAATTCCTGGCCCATTTTTTGGCTGATTGATTGGCTAATGTGTAAAGTGGTGACAGTCCCGGGCTTGATGGGATGTGCACCTGAGGCATCTAATCTACTGTACTGCCCACATTTATATGGGCCGCCTGGGGAGCATCGAATTAGATCGGGGGCATTAAACACACCACAGTCGATTTTCATTAGATCGACGCTGCTTTGTGCGAATGCGGGACGAGATTGGCCAATTGAACTCAATCTGTAGGGTTTTTGTGCCCCCACCTACTAGTACATGGGCAAAAACCTGGCCGACAGCGGAATCGCTTTTGACTCACGTCACCGACGTCCAACTTTTTAGATCCCCAGCATCACTTACTTATCCTGCCCAAGGTGCATCTTTCGACGCGGACCAAAGACACCCTTTCCAACAATAACACCATCGAATTAGACCCGCGTGCGTTTGCCAGCACAGTCGATATCATGTGCGGTACCTGCAACGGAGACGCAACTGGCGCTGCCCCGCCCGCCGCGAACTCGACGACGGACAATGCTGCTCCCTCGGCATCGACAAGCAATGGCGTCTATCCTGCCCAGGGCAACCCGGCGTCTTCTCCCTACCAGTCTGTTCAGGACTATATCTCAAATGTTGGCAGGTTCAAGATCATTGGTACAGCAATTTCTCCTCCTCCTCGTGTGCATCACAGCGACTGACACTGTATCTTAGAGAGCACTTTGAGAGAAGGAGAGCAGGTACGTTCGAATCCTCAATTCCTACGTCGACCCGACGTTTTTCCTTTTCTGCGATATTCACATCGGCTACTAGTTTGCGAACGCCTTCTTCGATATCGACACTAAGATCAAGATCGCCAAAGCACTGTAAGTAAACAGCATCATAATATACGATGAACCACATACTAACACAGTTGGTAAAGCGACAACTTCGGTGTAGACTACATCGAGCTGACCAGCCCTGTAGCTAGTCAAGCTTCTTATGATGACTGCAAGGCCATCTGTCAGCTTGGTCTCAAGGTTCGTTCTCAACTGCAGTGTCGATCGGCGTGCTGGATGGCTACAGTTTCATAGCGGGACAGTCGTCGCTTTCAAAACGTGGGACATATAACTAAGCGCTATGCATCTCTAGGCCAAGATCCTTACGCACGTCCGCTGTAATATGGAAGATGCGAAGAAGGCAGTCGAGTGCGGCGTGGATGGCGTCGACCTGGTAGCCTCCTCTAATCCTCTTTCGATTGCTCAACTGCTTATGCCATGTTAGGTTATTGGAACATCAAGCTTCCTCCGGGAATATTCCCACGGCAAGAGCATGGATATGATAAGATCCATTGCCCTGGAGGTCATTGACTATGTGAAGAGGTTCGCTAGCCACCGAGAAGTTAACCCATGCCGCCGTAATGAGAGCTAAGTTCAATTTCAGCAAGGGTGTTGAAGTCCGCTTTTCAAGTGAGGACTCCTTCAGGAGCAACCTCGTCGATATCCTACACCTCTATCAAGCCTGTGACAAGGCTGGTGTCGACCGAGTGTACGGACATCTTTTTCCACTGTGTCGCATGCGTTCGGTTAGCTAACGGATCCCAGAGGTGTCGCTGATACCGTTGGCGGAGCCACGCCAAGGATGGTCTACGACTTGATCAGGACACTGAGAGGTGAGTTTCTGCGTCTTCCGATATCACCTGTAGACTCCTGTAACTGACTCATATGTATAGGCTGTGTGGGCTGCGACATAGGTAACCTTGGCTATCATCTAGCTCCCAACTTATGAAACCCTTGACTAACCCTAACCCTAGAGACTCATTTTCACGACGATACTGGCTGCGCAGTTGCAAATGCACACTCCGCGCTCGAAGCTGGGGCCACGCACGTCGATACCAGCGTGTTGGGAATTGGCGAACGCAATGGCATCACTCCGCTGTAAGTAGGACAACCGCCCGTCTTGAGGAACAGCCGCTGATCCTAAGAGAAGTGGTGCTTTGATGGCCCGCATGGTTGTAACAGCACCGGACTATGTCAAGTCGAAGTATAATCTCAAGGCATTGAAGAGCTTAGAAACCCTGGTTGCCGATGCTGTCCAGGTCAATATCCCAGTAAGGACAAGGAGAGCATTCTGAACTCTGATGTGTTGAGCTAATCTCATTCCTAGTTCAACAATCCTGTGACGGGCTTCTGCGTACGTTCCGCCCCTCCACCGGTCGACACTCATGCACATTGTCACCTCCTCTGCCCATCTTTCCTTGCATCACTGACCTCACCTTGTCTTCTTGCCCCTGTGTCCAAGCATACTTATCTTGTTCCCGCTAACCTTGAGATAGGCATTGTAAGCTATTCATTGATCAATGACGGTTACCTGGCTCTGTTCTAACTAACTCGCACCCAGTACTCACAAGGCTGGCATCCATGCTAAGGGTACGATGAGGAAGTTGCAGTCACCCCTATTCGAGCGCTAACTGTGTTACAGCTATTCTTGCTAACCCATCAACCTACGAGATCATCGATCCGCACGACTTCGGAAGTGCGTCCACGCCCACCACCCTTGCTATCGAGTCCTCTATGCTAACGTCTACTTTTAGTGACACGCTATGTCTCCATTAATTCAAGAATTACAGGCTGGAACGCTGTCAAGGCCCGCATCGAGCAGCTAGGCCTGGGCTCGGAGTTCTCTGATGATCAAGTTAAAGAAGTGTACGGATCTCCCCTCTTCTCCGCGGTGTTTCACTACACGGGCGATATTGACACTATGCGCAGGACTGCCAAGATCAAGCAAATGGCGGACATTCGCCCCCTGGCTATTGACGACACAGACTCAATTATTAGGTCTTACCATCTAGATCTCAAGGTATAAGCTTGAGACGAACGAGGTTGTCTACTCCGTGAAGGCGTGTGCAACAGAGGAAGCAAAAGTTTGGGTACTTGGATTAGATGATGATAGATCAATGAAAAAACAAGATTTAGGCATTGATCGCCACAACACTAGCATGCTATGCTCGGCACTATCTTAAAGTCCTATGCACGCTGCGTGTAATACCTTTCTCCGTTGCGTATCGGGTTGTTGCTAGGCTAGCTAGGCCTTGGCCAGTGATTCGAGGTTGATGGGCTGGCTGTGCGGGATGGTTGTCTACATCATGAACGAAAATGGATCAAGTTGTTCATTAGTCAACATACCTATCAGATGCAAGCTGTTACATCGCAATAGTAATTTCATCATCCATGTTGCACGAGTCGCTCGTTCCATTATTCTGCCAGTAACTAAAGATGCTGAATCAGCGCTATTTATTTCTCCATAGAGACGCGTACTTAATAGTCTTATCTATCTATGAAGCAAAGGCTAGCTTTGGACAAGCTACGCAATGGTCCCTAAGGATGTCTCGCACCTGATACCTAAGGTACCTTTCAAGCGCCTTTGTGCAAATGTTAGCGTTGTTAATTGAGCAGACCGGGGCCCGAACAGTGGAAGAAGACACAGTAAGCTAAACCCCTATAGCTTGACACACAGCACAAGCGAATTGTTGCAAATATTCTATGACAGTTGCCAAGCCGTTACCGGGGCGAGTGCAGGGCGATCGCCAGCTAGTCTCTCACACATCAAAGAGCACTTTCCCGGCCTGGCGGGCGCCCTCGGCCTTTGGTCCGCAAACCAGCTCCATGTACCGATGAAAGCCGACGACGTCACTTCCACCCATTGAGCCGCATCCTCAACTCCAAACTCTCTGTCACCAATTTCCCTCTCCTTGTAGCTTTCAACCGCCCAGCACTGCCCGTCACAATGCCTCCTCGCATGTCGCTCTCGTCCCCTCGCGCGACCGCGACATTCATCCGCCGCCTCTACTCCACCGAAACCGAACCTCTCATCCGCGTCACCAACATCCCCTCTGCTTCCTCTGGCCACATTCGCGTCCTCGAGCTCAACCGCCCCAAGGCCCGAAACGCCATCTCCAAGGCCCTCCTGACCGCTCTCCGCGCCGAAGTCGACGACGTCCATGCGCAGTATGGTCCCAATGGCGAGGAGACGGGCGTAGCTAGGCCCGGCGTCAGCGCCAACCTGGGACCAACGAGGGCCTTGGTGTTGGCCAGCGCCGTCGATGCCTGTTTCTGCGCCGGGGCAGACTTGAAGGAGCGCAGGGGGTTCACGCAGGAAGAGTACGTGTAAACCCATCTTTATTCCTTCTTGACAAAACGTTGCTGCTGCTCGCAAATTTGGGCTCGTCTCGCCGCGGAAGCTCACCATGGCCCATTTATATAGAACGGCTGCATTCCTCGCCAATCTCCGCGGCACATTCACCACCCTCTCCAACCTTCAAATCCCCACCATATCAGCCATCTCGTCCCTCGCCCTCGGTGGCGGTCTCGAGCTCGCTCTCTCGACACACTTCCGCGTCCTCTCGTCCAATGCAACCATCGGCCTGCCGGAAACGCGGCTTGGCATCATCCCCGGCGCAGGCGGCACCCACCGTCTCCCAGCCATCATTGGCCTCTCCAGAGCCCGAGACTTGATCCTCACGGGCCGCCGTGTTGCGGCGCCGGAGGCGTACTTTATGGGCATTGCGGATCGTCTGGTGGAAGTGGTGCCCCAAGACGAGCGTGATGCTTCGGATATTTTGCCCGCCGCCCGCAAGACTACCCTAGCAGAGGCAGTTAGACTCGCCCAGGAGATTTGCGAGGGTGGACCAGTCGCTATCCGCGCCGGGTTGCAGGCCGTTGCGTGGGCGAGACAAGAGAAGGAGAATGAGATGTATGAGAGGGTGGTGGCGACAGAGGATAGGAATGAGGCGTTGAAGGCATTCCAGGAGAAGAGAAAGCCTGTGTTCAAGGGGCGGTAAAAATCATCAAGGGCTTGAAAACTACAAACTAGGGAAATTAAATATGAAAACCAGGCTAACGCGTGGGCTATCGATTGAATTTTTCTCATATCCATACTTCTTCTCTATCGAACGATTCTTTGCCTCGGGCCGTCTTGCATCGTCCGAATGCCGTCTACCCCAGACGCCATATCTAACAACTACATACCGCATCGCCACCAAGCTGGATTTTTACCAAATTGGCGTGCGAAGTAGCCGCTACCATGCCTGCCATAATCAAACATTCGAATAATGGAAACACTGCATACCTAACAATCCTTAGTGTACAGAGAGGGCTAAACGCGCTGCTTACAAAACAACCTCACAGCTGAAACGCAAGTTTGGCTTGTACTGTCTGCTATTCCTGCATTCTTTGCGGATCATCGTTCCCTTTCTTGTACCCAGGGTCTGTTTCATCACCCGGGGGTTCGATCCCTTCAATGACGGGCGCCACCACTTCGGCGACGGCGTCAATATCTCCGTCCTTATCCGTCACCATCTTTGATGCGGGACTCTCTTGCAGTTCTAAGGGAGGTGTTGGCGGCTGTCGCTTTGGAATATTGACATACTCGGCTTTGTCTTCATCTCGGACATAGCACAGGAAATATGGCTCGCCACTTGTACTCAGAGTCTCCAGGACCTCCGCAGTGTTTTTATTCTCCTTCACGTCGGCATCGTTGTACCATCTCCAAGTGTTCTCCTCAAAGTCATGTATCCATACCCAGTAATGACCCGACATCAACTGCCCACGATGACAGATAACAGCATGCAAACGATACGGTGTTCCCTTTAGACTTTCTTGATGTTCCTTGAGGGTTTCTTCTCGCTTTTGCAGCTCAGCCTCCATCATTTGACGAATAGCTGCATCGCTCGCACGAATATTCAACGGCTTCGGCTCATGAGGTATCGGCTGTTCAGAGCCAGTCGAGGTTGACGTAGTGACAAGCAGGAAATCCTCATCGACAGGGCCATCAAAATCCCAATTCTCTTCCGGAGCAGCGACAATCTCTGGGGCCTCTCCAACGGCCGACTCGGCGTTTGCAGTTCCATCTGCTACTTCCGTTTCTAAGACTCCGGCTGCGTATTTCTCTAAATATGATGTATATGTCGGGTTGGAGTCAACTTTCGAGATTTGAACCTTCAGGTCTGATATGCGATCGGACAGAGCCCAGTCTTCTACGCGCCGTTGGAATACCGGTGAAGTATGTGGGGCATCCATATATCTGTCCAAATACAACGTCTCTGGGATGACTACAGCATTGCCGTTCTTGCTTCCCATGGACTGAGACCGTTGAATGAGGACATGTAACACAGGAGGCAGAGTCTTGATGGCTGTATATCTTGAAAGCTTGCTCTCCTCTAGTATTTGTTGGTCAAAGTTGCGCCCCAGGGCGTCATACAAGGAGCAAGGCCCATCCGGAGCCGGAAATGCAGTTATGGAACGATCAAAGCTGATTTCTGACTGATATTCCCTTTCGTCGAATTTCTTGGTGTAGTTGACCGTTGTCACGAAAAAGGTTTCCATAATCTTTTCGAGCTGGATGCCAGTCTTCTCGTCGACCGAGGTCGGTTGAATCGCAGCTTGTAGGCGATTAATGATGCTACCCATGACTTCCTCAACATCTTGCTGGTCGGTGCCGGAGGATCTCTTCTGATGTTCCAAGGCATTCAAGACTTTCTGGTCTACGGTTTCGATCTCCGCATCGGCCATATCAACGTCTTGAAAACTCCCCTGCGCATCATTCGTGGCTTCAGTCGTTATTGTTTCCTTTGTGGGTTGTGGAGGGCTTTTGGAGGACTGATCCATAGGGTCATCGGTCTTAGATAGGACTTCTGTGTCACCATCTGCTTGGCCAGAGACATGCACGGTTTCTACCCTCTCATATGAATGGTCGGAACGGGCATCCTCTTGATCGATCAATGTCCTCGAACTGGAATTGCTGGCCATTTCGGAGGGCTCAAGAGCATTGGCAACACTGCCGTTAGTCATTTCAACGTCCTCCACGGACTGAGTCGGTGGTGCTGGCGATGGCCGAGCCGGCAAAGGCGGTGGCCTTGGTCCGATTGGCGGTTCAGATGACTGCTTGGTATTGTGAAGTAGAGTGTGTGTCGACAACAGCACAGCATTGGCCAGGCGCTGAGACGGTTTTGTCGCTGATCGTTTTGAAGCCTTCAGATTTTGGAAGAGCTCGGATAGCTCCTTAGCAACTATTTTCGAATTAGCCTCCCATTTTACTCGCGTCGTGACTCTTAAGAAAAGGTGTCACTCACAGGCTTGCGCGACGACCGCCTCACCGCGGTCCATCTGCATTTTGTTTCCGCCTAGAAGTCGAGCCTTGATACTTTCATCATCCAGAGCCAGTTTAACATTGTCATAGTTTAATACGATTTCTCGTACTGGCTTGACAGTGAAGAGGTATTGGAGCAGACTGTTCAAATAGCAGGTGTTTCCGATGTTGTGCAATCCGACAGGCAATGCATAGTTGACCGGCTCGTCTTCACTCTTAGCTTTGACCCCGTATATGCCGTTTTCTTGTCGGAGCTCCATCGCTGCTTGTTTGAGTGCTGGAGAGTATGTATGATCCGCGATTGCTTCTAATGCATCTAGGAAAACTTGAGTGGCCTCCTTGCTCTTGCTTGCCTCGATCTGCGGCCGGTATTAGCCAAACACCGCAATAGACAGTGTGTCGACTGCAGCTACCGTTCAAAAAAGAAGAAGGGGAAGGGGGGAGGGGGGAGCGACCGGGGGAAACAGATAAGGAAGGGGTTGGAATGGATATAAGCCTCTTACCTTATTTTTAGCAGCTTCATAAGTGGTCTCCCAGGGTACTTCTACGGCTTTCAGTTCAAGGATTGACCGGCTCGTTTCCAGAGACATCTTTGCATCAGCTTCCATTAGTAGTTGAGCTTGATACATATCATCGTTTGAGTTTTGGGCGATAAGAAGCAGCATCGACCGTGCAGTGGTAGCATCTGCCGGATCTCGAGCAAGCTTCTGTCTAAATGCTTGAATCAGAGAATCTGCGCTATAGTTATTCGGAGGTTGCAAACCCAAGAAATTGAGTGCTTGTGGCACCAGGCCGTCATCATCATTAGTCGCGGGTCTATGTGTTTGGTTATCAAATACGGAGGATTGAGTAATAGCATAATCAGAGAGCAATTCGTCTCCGGAATCATTAGCAATGCCCATGATGCTGTCCACCAATGCTCTTCTACGACTAGGCAGCAAGTCCCATTGGCGTTTGTAAGCATTGACTACCGCTTCTCGGGTTTGATTAGGGAGAACTCCAATCAGCTTGTATCGCTCCACGTTGACTAATGCATTCGCAGCAGCATTCGGCACTTCATTACATCCTAAATCTGCGTGTAGAACTGGCGTGATGATTGTCGGCTTCTCCGCCGCCTGGCCGGCCTTGTGTATCAAGCATTGCACTTCGGCACGTACATCTTCTAAATATGATCGATAGGTGCCTATTTCAGTTGTTTCCGAGGGACCGCCCGCAGGTGGGGGAGGTGAAGGGGTGAAAGAGCCTTCGTCAACACCGTCTCTAAGTTCTACTTTCTCGGTGAATTCCAACTCGCGAAACATGGCAAAGCATCGGGGTCCGAACAGAACAGCAAAGCGCTTGTTCCTCTTTGATATGCTCCTAGCGTCCTCTGGGGTGGATTCCAGCAGATTTTTGAGGTATGTGTTTAGATTCAGGGTTGCCTGATAGGCCCATTCGTCGGTGGCAGCTTCATAGCGGCCAGGTTCCTGTTCCTTTGCTGCCTGCAGCTGCTGGCAAATAGCCTCTCGATCCAATAGAAGCTCCACCCAAGACTGCGGCATGCGAGGTTCTGATATTTCGAGGGTGAGCTGGAACGTACAAGGTGGAGCGGAGCAAACGAAATATTCTCGAGCCAACAGAGGGCAATATTTGGTGTTATCCTGTGCAACGTCTGGGTCAGAGCTGGATCCTACCCACACCAAGTGGTGCCATGGGAACTGATCATCACGGAGTGGCCATGATGACTGATTCTGATGGCACAGGCCATCACTGTGAGCTTCATCCCAGGTCATCTTGAAGACAAAGTGAAAGTGGCAGTCCAGACATATTGATGACAATACGCGGGACGAAGCTGTTGAGAAGCTTTGGTTTCCATTCATGACTAGTTTGTGGGCATGGTCCCAGGTATACGTGCTCTCTAGCTTCGCGTGTCGGGCTCGCTCGAACAAATCGCAGACGGTGAAGTCGTTATTTAATAGTTCGTAAACCCATCGGCTAGGGTTGCAACCTACAACAGTCGCAGCATTAGTTGCATGTATAACATGGACGATGGCGGCTAATTCAACATACCAGCAATTTCTCTACCAGGCGCCAGGTTGGACTTCATCGGCGTCATGTTATGCGGCACAAAGCCAGCTTGTGATGTGCCTGGCAACGTCGCATAAGGGCTCGCCTCTTGCGCCTGAGAGCTTAAATCAAAGTGGCCAGCCATGTCGAGACTATCTCCAACAAAGCTGCCGGATTGAGAGGTATCGTATATATCTGTCGAAAGCGAGTGTAGCTGTTATGGCGAGGTCGACAAATGCTTGCCCCGCGAGGGATGGGAGCCGGAGACGGATGTGAAGCAAACGTGGCCAGGCAGCATCAAAGCAATTAGACCAAGTAGAAGGCCCTGTGCATGATCCTAATATCGGCGCAAGGCAGCCGCCTTAGATAAGCATTTTTGTCGGGTAGGCTATGCGGGAGGCGTAGATGCTTGCGTGGTCGTGTCGCGGTGATGGTGTGGCAATGTGACGACCTGGCTGACGCAACTTCCAAGGTGAAGCATGATTGATTGACCTGGACCGTTCAAGTTTGGAGAGACATGGAGCTCTGTTGACCGTTGGCCGCTGAAAGGACCACAGTCCACTTGGCACTTGGCTCAGGTCAACGGTGTCTAGGCCTATCCGTGGGTGCTATTACTGGCTGGGTCAACCAGCTGGTCTATCACTTGAGGTGATGTGGCTAGGTGTCCAGTTTTAGGTGGCCCATGCGCTGAAGTAGGCTTGGGCACTTCGTCCAGCATCAATTGATCGCTAAAGTACTGCATGTGACAACTAAGTACTAATCGTGCCTAGGTGCCTGGCCTAAAAGTAGTACCTCCAGGTCGCTTTTCAATTGCTCTCCCCCTAAACCTATTCAGGAATGGAAACGACCACACCGCTTTGTCATTGCTGGTGAAGTTCAATCCACCATCACCAGTCGTTCAATGTTTCAAAGTCGATCGCAGTGTCACAGTGCATCATTCACTCTCCGCGTATAATCCATAATTACAAATGCCATACGCGACATCCTCTCAAGAAATCAGAATCTCCGCCACCCACTAGAGCATACCATCCCATCGTTGTTTTGCGGCCCGTCATGATTCGAGTGTCGCCTGTCAACGACCCGTCTCCGACCGAAAACTTGCAACGCGCATACTATATGCATGTCGAATTCGCAGAAGGACTATGGCCTTCAGTATTATATCACCCATCTTGTTTTCCCAGTTGTCCAGGATCTGATCCATACGGAGTACTCCGGTAATAAGTTGAGAATATGACAAACCCCGCTTCGTCTCCGCTCTACCTGCGCGTACTACTGTCCTGGTTCATAGGAGCGGCGTTTCGATCTTCAGATCTAAATCCGTTTTAATGCCGACATTTGCTATCACGAATTAAGTAAAAATGGCCACTACCAACGAACGTCGGCGCCTCCGAATAGGCGTCGACGTTGGAGGCACTAATACTGACGGTGTCATTCTCGACCCATCCGCACTGGCGTCACCCGAGCAGGGCATATTGGCATGGCACAAAACGCCAACGACTACAAACCCTAGCAGAGGTATTGTCAAAGTCATAAACACCATGTTCAATGAAGCCGTTATACGACCTGAGGACATCACTAGCGTCACCATTGGCACGACCCATTTTGTGAACGCCGTGATAGAGAGAGATGCATCACGGCTTACACGTGTAGCCGTCATACGACTGTGTGGACCGTTTTCAAAACATGTTCCACCATGCATAGACTGGCCAGATGAGATGCGAGAATTGATTTTGGGCTACTATGCTCTTGTTAAAGGCGGGCTCGAGGTCGATGGAAACCTGATATCTGATATTGATGCGGATGAAATCAAGACACACTGTGAGGTGATTCGAGAGAAGGGCATCAATAGCATTGTTGTAAATGGGGTTTTTAGCCCCATCGATACGGTGGAACGGCAGGAAGAACGGGCTGCGACGATCATCAGCCAAGAATTACCGAACAGTTATGTTGTCTGTTCGCGGGACATAGCAAATCTGGGCTTCATCGAGCGAGAGAATGCATCCATACTGAATGCATCCATTCTACCGTTTGCGCAAAAAACAATCAGGTCCTTTCAAGACCCCATCAAGAAGTTGGGCTTGACATGCCCTGTTTTCGTTACGCAGAACGATGGCACAATGCTGTCAGGAGAAATGGCAGCTCGCCTTCCTATCCGAACTTTCTCAAGTGGACCGACGAATAGCATGAGAGGCGCAGCATTTCTAGAGTCGGGCCAATTATCTCAAGCTGTCATGGTGGTGGATATTGGCGGAACAACTACCGATGTTGGCTTGCTCCAAGCGAATGGGTTTCCAAGGCAGCAGGCAGCATACAGCGAACTTGCCGGAATCCGAATGAACTTTTCTTGTCCGGATGTGAAAAGCATTGGTCTAGGTGGAGGCTCTATTGTCAAAAAAGACGATCACCTTACTGTTGGGCCTGATAGTGTCGGCCATAGGCTGACTACAGAGTCTGTTGTCTTTGGCGGAAAGATATTAACAGCCACGGATTGCGCGGTGCTTGCCAACCCTGAGCTCAACATTGGCCACGTTGGCCTTGCTCGGGGATCTTTGAGTGAGAAGCAGAGCAGGGAATTCCAGCAAATCATCCGCATCAAGCTGGAGCAAATTGTGGACAAAATGAAAACGTCACCGGAGGACATTCCAGTTCTGCTAGTGGGAGGAGGAGCCATACTTGCCCCCAGAAACCTGAAAGGAGCCAGCAAAGTTCTGACGCCGAAGTGGTCCGGTGTTGCAAATGCAATAGGCGCGGCTATAGCAAGAGTAAGTGAAGTGGTGGATATAGTCAAGTCGACGGAGAGTAAAAAAACAAGAGAGCTACTTGATGAGATTGGCCGGATGGCTGTGGAAAAGACGATATTCGCTGGCGCCTTGCCGTCCTCGGTCGAAATCGTCGAGAAGGATACCCTCCCTCTTCCGGTAAATATGTCCGGGCCTTGGATAGATGGAAAGCTTGCTGACTCACATCATAGTACATTGCTCACAAAAATAGATTTATTGTTCGCGCAGTAGGCGACTTTGACTTTGCAAATCATCATCGAGATCAGAGTATAGTCGAGGTATATGAGGATGATGAAGCAAGCTGTGACGGCATGGAGGAACATCAGCGGCAAGACGAAAATACAGTGGTAAAGGAGAAACGAGACAATATTGCGGAAGTTTTTAACATTTTAGATTACAAGCCCAAGGTCAAGAATCGTGTCTGGTATATTTCTGAAACGGACGTGGAGTGGATTTCAACAGGATGCTACATCCTTGGAACCGGAGGAGGGGGTTCTCCGTATTCATTCATGGTCAGGCTACGAAATCAGCTTCGCGACGGGGCCACCGTACGAGTGGTCAACCCCCTCGACTTGAAGGACGAGGACCAAGTAGGGTGTGGTGGTGGTATTGGCAGCCCAACGGTAGGCATCGAAAAACTAAGCGCAGACGAGATACTCGAGGCCCAAGAGGAGCTGTCCAACATTTGTGACCGGTCAGCAACACATATCATTGCCCTAGAAATCGGAGGTGGCAACGGCCTACAAGGCATGATCCTTGGTGCAAGCAACAACATGAACATTCCGTGTGTAGATGGCGACTGGATGGGCCGAGCTTATCCTACAAAATGGCAAACTACACCAGTTGTCTTCAACGAAAGATCGCCAATATGGTCGCCAATTGCCATGACAGACGGCAATGGGAATGTAGTGCTCATGCCCAAGGCCAAAAGCGACCTTCAAGTTGAGAAGACGTTGCGAGCGGCGCTGTCTCAGATGGGTTCTCACTGTGCTTGCGCAGAGTCACCTGTAACTGGAGCTGAGACCAAACGCTGGGTGGTGGAGCATACAATCTCTCAAGCATGGAGAATAGGCCGCGGAGTAGCCAGGGCCAGAAAGGAAAATAGAGTGGACAATGTGGCGGAAACAATCATTGACGAATGTGGAGGGCCAGGCGCGGGTAAAGTTCTGTGGAAGGGCAAGATAGTTGGGGTGGAGAGGATGCTAAGAGGAGGATATGCTTACGGAGAATGCTTAATCGAAGGCACAGATGTACGGGATCATAGTGATGCTATCAGGGGTACGGCACGTGGTTCTCCATTCCAAGGCACGATTAAGGTTCCCTTCAAGAACGAAAACATTGCTGTCCTGAGGCTGCGAGACGACGGCAAACAAGAGCTTCAGCAGGATGTGTTGGCTATAGCTCCAGATCTTATTACTGTAATCGATGCTCAGAACGGAGAGGCCATCGGAACTCCTGAATACAGGTACGGTCTATTCGTGGTGGTTCTAGGTCTGGCCGCCAGCGACAAATGGACTGCAACTGAGCGAGGAGTAAAGATTGGTGGCCCAGAGGGTTTTGGCTTTGGCCATTTGGCGTACACCCCCCTAGGAAAGTTTATACGTCCAAAGAGTGTCATTGACGAGTATGATGAGAAGTAGCATATGGAAGATCTGAGAAGTCAGTGGAAGAAGTGGAAGAGGTGGAAGAAACCTGGCATTGTAAGTCCCACAGTTTCTAGTATCTACTATCGACTGAGTTCACCCACGCACAGCGCTTGCTGCAAGACGGCCGGTTGAGTTCTTCGTCTGCGTAATAGATCTCAAAGTTATTAGTGTATTTAGGGCAAGAGCATGGCTGGGTTGGCAGTGAAGGTATCATGATTCGTATACGAGCGGCACCCAGCGCGGCTTGGAAGGCTGCACACGTCGTGTCCTGGAGTCCTGATTTCTATTCGTTTACCACGAAGATGCGATATTCCTAATACAGTGAGTCTCTGTAAAAGAATCCTCAAAACAGGACTGAATAATAGATAGCTTTCTCCAAAAACCAGGTTACGGTGGACGCGTGTGCATGGACCTCCATGGAGTTTGGCTTCACGCTTGCTCTTACTCACGGTGTTGCAGCACAGACTTCCGAGCCAAAGGGAGCAAAGGGGACAAATACACTAAATATTTCACTTGTCACCGTCATGACTGATTTCTTGGTTCACGAGTCTTGCAAGCGACCTGCACTATGCACCGTGTGGTAATCTACGACCGCTGTGCTGCGGCCTTGTCCACACATACAAACATAGATGACATGACATCTACATCTGCTTCGTTTACGAGCCGAGGCTCGGAAGCTACTTGGAGTTTCTTTCAATAGGAATTCAAATAAGCAGCCAGGTGTCATCGTAGACGAGCCTCTCCGTCTACAAGTCAAAAATCCGGTGGCGCTGTATGAGTTCGCTACGCATCTGACTTGAGGCTAGAAGCTGTAGAAACCTTCTTCATTACTTTAAGTTCCCTAGTCAAACTATCTATGTTAGTATTTGACAGAAGTTTCTCTCTCTCTCTGTGAGTCGAAATTTCCTTATACATCTGCTCCCCCCCCTCCCACGGATGCCACTTGGCACTTCCACTTTGAATATCATCCTTCATACACACTTACACGTTCACACCTTGACACTTTCACAAGTACACAGAATTGCATAGTCACACTTACACTTTCACACCTTGACACTTTCACACCTTGACACTTTCACAAGTACACAGACTTGCATGGTCACACTTTCACACTTTCACACTTTCACACCTACACACTTAAACAAAAAACAAACAAAAAAACACACTCACACACTCACCTGGTATAGTTGCCTTATTCTGCAACTTGACTTCCTCTGCATCTTATTGCACCCTTTGGAATCTTCACTCAATACCTCTTCCTCAAATTTGACAACCATGCCTCGCGCACCCGCACGAATCTGCGCCGGCAGCCGTCGAGGTTCGCCATACACCAGACGCACAACAACTAACACACGTATGGCATCCAACAACTATTCACTGAGCAGCAAAACTTGGTCTGCCACCAAGCTCCCGAATGAGATCAAGCACATGATTGCCGGCTATCTTCCCCAGCAAGCACTTTACCAAATCGCCAAGTGCTCAACAAACTGGGCAGACGTTGCACTTCCCAAGCTCTACGAGGTCGACGCACGCTCCGGAAGCCCGAAAGCCATCAAATGGGCAGCTAAAAACTGTGAATCCAATCCCCAGATCGCTCTCAAGGTCTTGGCAAGGTCCGTCAAGTACAATGGGAATGTAAATGCTGTTTATACCGACGACGGGGTTCATGCGACAGCCTTGCACTTCGCAGCGGCTTATGGCCAACGAGAATTCATCCAAGAACTACTGAGACAGGGAGCCCGCGTTGATACCCTGAGTTCCAGCTACGAGCTGGCCAGGGGACTCGGAATACCGATTCTGAACGACAACTTGAACAACCAGTTTAGCTGGCTCGAAAAGTACGACGGCGATTACGAGTGGTCACCTCTCGTGATACCAATCCTCAAAAACGACGTAGAGACAGCCGAGCTGCTCGTACGTGCCGGAGCATCGGCCACCGTGATCGAACATCGAGATAACGCTTCTTTCTTCAACGGCTTGCCAATTGTCACAGTTTACCACCTTCTTGCTCACGCTGCGCCGCGCGACGCTGCTGGGTGGACGCATGTCTTCGATAACGACATCCACAGGACGGTTTTGGATGTCCCCATGCACAATTTCAGCTCAGCACTCAACACTGCGGTACGAAACGAAAACGGTCCCATCTTCGACATGCTCATCAACATGGGCGCCGACCCCAACGTTCCAACTGTCTGGGGAGGCAGTGCGTTGGTAACGGCGGTTGAAAAAGCGTTCGCGCTGGACCTCACTGTTCCTCGAAGAAAAACCATGATGACGTGGATGCTGCGACTTATTCAAGCTGGCGCCGATGTGAATCCAACAGGTCCTGCCCGAGAGTCACCACTCAACTGCGCACTCAAATTTTACGCCACAACAATCAACGCTGTAGAACCGTGTGTGAAGAAGGTGATTGAAATCCTCGTGGATAATGGAGCCGATATCAATCGCAGGGGATCCAACGGCGAGACCATTCTACACACATACTGCCGTTCCATGTTCTGTTTCCAGCAACTGAGATATTCGTCCTTGGAAACCATGTTGCGCTACCTGATAGCTAAGGGAGGAGACGTGAATGCCCGGCAACGACCTGGACATCAATCTCTCATGTTCCTATCAATCCGAAATATCCTCCTGGCAGGAAAAGTTACACCATTTCACGCGACGCTACGACAGGCCGGGGCAACCCTCTGTCCACAAGAAGTGTCCCTTGTTTTTCACACCTGGGTTAAACGCCCTTGGTTTCGAAGAGTCAGGGCCTATAACATCTTTCATCATCGGCAACTCCTCAGACAGGGACAGATAAACTCGGCATGGATCGAGGGTATCAAAACAAATGACGACAAACTCTGCAAGACTTTGCAAGACCAAGGGCTAACGCCAGCAAATCACGGCTATTTGCTGCATCAAGTTATAAGTGGAAGAGTCAATAAATTCTGGCCAAAAATCCCGGATATGGGCTTCGACGCCAATTGCACCAATAACGACGATCTTGGGAGTTTCCTCCACACTCTGGTGCGCCAAGTCCAGAAACAGGAATCAACAGATGATGATGACATAGATGATGACACCATCAGCCCAAGGCTGGCAGTGGAAATTGCCAAAACATGCATTAGGAAGGGCACATCAAGCTTGATTCGGGATTGCCAAGGGAAGCTGGCTTTGGATTTGCTGTCCGAGGGCCACCCGAAGCTACGAGCCGTTCTGCTTGAAGCTTATTACCAGGAGACGAAATCAACGTTTACATGAAGGACAAGGGATGCTGGAAAGACTTGGCGGGAGGATGATTGATGAACAGATTGCATTGGCGGGATATACCCTTGGGCTGCACCTGATTGGAGACATGGACGGGTACTTGGAGTTTCGGGGTGTTACTGGCGGGAAAGAAGAAAACAACAAAGAAAGGGGAATTCGTTGCACTGATGGCATATCAGGCGACTTGAGATATTTGGAGACAGATGGGGTTCAGCAACATTGCTGATGTGAAAGAATGAAACAACAGAAACAGGGATTTGCTTGGAGACGAATACTTTGCTTGGAGCGGACGAACCGGAAAGGACAAAGGTCCAGACCAGCACCCGAGACCAATCTAGGATAACGGGATCAATCCGGCTTCATGCCAAGAAGAAAAACAGGGCTCGAACAAATACTAGAGCCGGGCGTCCGAAACGAGCAGGAATCACAACTCAGTAGATGCCAGGAATCCGCTCCGAGTCCAAAAGGGAGGACATACAGCAAAGTGCGGCCAGTTCTGATCCTTTTCGACTAAGGAAAAAACGATTACTACTCTTTTTCCCACTGGGTTTTAATGAGGGTAATCCGGGTTGGAAAATGGTCCGTACTTTGTTTGGAGCGGAATACCTTGCTTGGATGGGATATCGACTTGGGCTGCAGGCGACGTGGATGATCTTTCTGGGAGGCAATATACAGGCAGATTGAATAAATGAAGGTTGGAGTTGAAATGAGGGGCATTCACCGCCCCCAATGTGCATTCTGAGATGTGAGACGTATAGGCCACATTATTACGCAATGCTGCGCCAAAGGCATAGCGACTTGCTGAATGAAATTAAAGTACTGAGACAGAGCCGCCCTGCCCTGCTTCCCCGATGAAGTGGTTAGCCTGCTTCGCCATCATAATTGCAAGCCTGGGTCTTAAGAGGCCATCCTGCAACTTTTGTAGAAGGCCTTTAATGAATATAGTTGTTCAAAGTAAGTTTAGGACGTATATTTATGGGTTATCACGATCCTGCCCCTTTGGTGTTGAGGGCTGTTGGCACTTTCCCGGCAACTTGGAACGTGACCTTCACGCGAGCCTCACACGTTCAATGCCACACATTCAACCTCACACATCGAACCACAAATTGAATATCATAGAAACATCCAAAAACTCGCTGCAGGCCGTCCCCATCAGGGTCCCCGAAAGGCCCCCAGAGACGAAAATGAAAAAGAACCTTGAGGAAACTTGATAGCCATTACAGCTAATCTTGTGGCAGCTTCGATCAACACAGCCAACCGCATGTCTTCAAACCACCACGCCTTGGCCCGTCCCCCTTCAACTCGGTATACCTTTGGGGACCTGGGCATGCAACAAGTCGCTCAATCCCCCATGATTCGCCGTTTGCATTGCCAAGCCACGGTCTTTATTCTAGTTTCGAACTTTCGTATCGGAACCCCGCGACAACCCAGCGCCAAACGACCCCGAAAACAGCCCTCGCCCTATCATCCCAAGGGATCAGCAGTACATACGACCACATCTACATGCGGACGACGTGGCAGACGGGCTCTCTGTCTATTCTCAAGTTTTTGGCTCGCAGGCTCGCTTACATGCCCTCCCTGCCCGGCATACGACGGAGATGGCCTGTTTTGCATCTAGGAGAATGGGCTTTTCAGAATACCCATGCCCAAACTGCAACACTCCAGAGTCCACAAGAACCCGCATGACGAACCGCGTTCCATTTGGAAATACGGCATCCGGATGGTCCAGCCACTCAGATAAGCTGGCTCTCTACCCTGACATCCAGACACGCAAGGGTCAACCGGTGCTACGCCGCCCAATATAGCCAATGCGACCGCATTTCTCCACCATCCTGCTTCCCCATCAGGCAGGTTGCAATATGCTTCGCTGGCCCCCCGGTAAAGGGATCTACAGGACCTGAACCCTTACAGTTCCTCGGCGTTGACTGGGTGTTATGGAGGTGCTGCCCTCGGTCACCAATCTGTGTGTTGGCGCCCATCTTGTCGCAGCGCTAGTTTAGCCCAAGATGCAGCCTTTCTTTTTTATCGCGCGAGGATGGGGATTAGATTACATGCAACGAGAGAATCACCTTTCGAAGCGAGAGTGTTAGCTCGGGTGAATCTGGGCAGAAGACATCGGTGCCAGTTCGGCCGGTCTCTGTTTCAGTAGGCAGCGAGTATAAACTGTCGTGGATTCGCATCCCTTTTTTTTCTCTCTTTCTCTTGTCCTTGTTGTCGTGCTGCATCCCAAGTCCCCTCGTTGCCCAACATGAAGTTCTCCTCGGCATCATTTCTCGTCGTGTCTGCCGCTGCGGTTGTCCTTGGTGTGCCTGTGCCTGCGCCCGTAAGCCCTCCATCCTGTGTAACGATGGGAAACAAAATGCTGACCCCTTTCAGCCGGGTATTCCAACTGCTTCGACCGCCAGGACTCTTCTTGCTGGCCTCAAGGTTGCTACGCCGTTGAGCGGTGATGGCTACTCCCGCACCCTGTTCCCTACGTGGGAGACCATCGAGGGGACTTGCAACGCTCGGTGGGCATTTCTTCTTCTCTTCTCTGTCAGAGACATGGTGCTAAACATGAATCTAGCGAGTTTGTACTCAAGCGAGATGGAACAGACGTCCAGACCAACACGGCATGTGTCGCCCAGTCTGGCAACTGGGTTTCTCCGTATGACGGTGTCTCATTCACCGCCGCCTCGGATCTCGACATTGACCACATGATTCCACTCAAGAATGCCTGGATTGTAAGACCCAAGACCGCATTGATACCAAGGAGCCTCTCTGTCTAACTCTCGTCTCCCAGTCCGGCGCCTCGCAATGGACCACGGACAAGCGCAAAGGTCTCGCCAACGACATCACCCGTCCTCAGCTCTGGGCCGTCTCTGCCCATGCCAACCGTGCCAAGGGCGACAGCAGCCCCGACGAGTGGAAGCCCTCCCTGAAGACCTTCTGGTGCACCTACTCCAAGAGCTGGATCCAGGTCAAGAGCCATTACTCACTGACCATTACCGATGCTGAGAAGGGCGCGCTGTCAGGCATGCTGGACTCTTGCTAAGTGCTTCTGTATCATGACGACCCGTCGGGCATGCAACGATGAAACACTTGTGACAATGATTTTATGTTTTTGGGTTTGTTTTTGTTTCCCAACTCCCTGTTCCGGCGGTTTGTGCGGTAGGTCAGGCATCATGAAATATCATCAAATGGCACACAATAAAAGGGAGGGGCCACAAGTGCCACCCTCAAGTTGCAAATGTTTGTCGTTTCAAGGTGACGAGTCCCCCCTTGAGATTCGTTGCGTAACACGGATACTTGGCGAGTTGCAAGTTTTCCCACTCTACCGATTGGACGACTCGTCTACGCGTGGCCTGCGAAACGTCGACATCGTGAAAGACGGCAGTACAAAAATGGCCACATCTCGTCACTCACCGACGAATCCCAATTTCCTTTCCCCCATGCAGGAGACATTCCACCGAGGTACAACACATTCATAGTCTTACCACGGATACTTTCCACCTGTGTCAAAAACAAATGAGGGCATGCAAAGGTTCACGGACAACGTAGTCAAGACCACCGTGGATGAATCCTAGACTCCCTCCCCCCCTTTTTTCAACAAGTTAAATTCAGCAAGCACACATCTCCCTCATCCATGACTCTCCTTCAACATCCTCCATCACTCAAGGTATCAAGAATCAACGGCGGGACTACTCTCCAGCACCAAGTCCCCCAGTGCCCAAGATGCTTCGCCCGTACTGGATGGTATGCCTGGCGGCTCTGACCGCTGCCAGCCTCAAAGATCTCGCCAACTGCGACCCTCTGCGAAAAGATATGCGTAATGATCCTATAGCACAAAAGTCTTGCCCAAAAAAGACCCGCACCGAACCATCAAAGCTAACTGTTGCATCAGACTGCCCCCCTGACGCGGCGTTTGCCGGCAAGGCCTCGTTCGACTTCACCACCGCAAACTGGGACAATGTCCTCGACTTCTGGGCCGTGGATGAAGCGACGGCCAACGACAAGAAGAGGCTCGATTTCGACACCGACGGCAACGGCGTCGCCATGGGCATGTGGAAGCCGGGTGACGCCCCAACCCTCGTCAGCAGCAAGTATCTGCTCTTTGGCAAGGTCAGCGTCACGCTGCGAGCCGCCAAGGGCAACGGCCTCATCACCGCCGTGGTGTTGAAATCGGACTCTGGCGACGAAATCGACTGGGTAAGTCCCAACGACAGCCCCCTTTTTTTTGTGTTTGAAAACTAAAGACATGGACGTAGGAACTCCTCGGGGCGTACGACAACCAGGCGCAAACAAACTACTTCTACGACGGGCAGGCGCTCTTCAACACGTACAACGACACGTACGACCTCGCGGCGTCCAGCTTCGACGCCCTCCAGAAGTACTCGCTCGAATGGACCGACCAGTTCCTCAGCTTCTCCGTCAACGACACCATCCGCAAGGTGTGGTACGTCGGCGAGATTCCGGCCGCCAAGTGGCCCCAGACGCCCATGCAGGTCAAGCTGGGCGTGTGGTCGGTCCGCAACGACAGCGACCGCGGCGAGATCGCATGGGCCGGCGGCGTGCCCGACTGGGGCTCGGCCCCGTACAGGGGGTACTTCCAGAGCATCGAGGTCGAGGACTACACGGGCTTCTGCAACCAGACGGACGGGTACGTCGAGTACCAGTACGACGAGCGGACGGCGGGCTGGCAAAAGATCAGGATAGCCGGGTGCCAGAGCCGCCCGGGGCCGGAGCTGCCCGCCCCCAGTCCCGTTCACACGGGCGACGCTACGGCCACCGAGACCGGCGAGACCGGCGGGCCGGAAACGACGGCGGCGGATGACGACAACGGCGGCGCGGGCTTGTCAGCGGGGCCGTCTTCGGCCTTGGCTGCCGTGCTTTGCCTGGTGTGGTTTTTGGTTCTCTGATATTCCAATGCGAGCAGAGGGCGTGACGGCCGAGGCGGAGGGATGTAATGTAATGGGGTTCAATTTGCACGTCGGTCAACCCGGTGGTGGTGGTGGTGGTGGATGGGCGGAAAACGCGGTTCGAGTATGAATTCATTTAATTCCCGGGGGTGTAATCTCTTCGTTTTGCAGCGTCCGCCTTCGCTCCGTGTCCGCCACGTCTAATCCCTCTGACACTAGTGATATGATACAACTGATCCAACTAGTAGTTCGTCTTGGATGGTATTCGACTTGATACGGGTATAGTACTACCAAGAAATTTATGACCAAGCGCAGCCCCAATCTGCAACCACTCGGACGCAAGAGCCGCGCGGCAGCCGTCATGACCAGTGCAAAATGTACCGAAAAGACGACGCCAAACATGTCCCAGGTGACAACGGTGAGCATTGGCTCTTCTTTCGCGGCGGCTAGCAATGTGACAAACTTGAGTTCCAACCGCTGCTGCGGCATTATCAAATCAACCAAGGCAGTTGGATACCTGCCATCCATCCTTGTGAGATGGGACCAGGTTACTCCTCTCATCTTCAGTCTCATACTTCAACGTCTGTAATACAATCAATCACCCTTGGAAGCCTAGGACAAAGGCTGAGGAAAACAGAGGCTTTTGTTACAGTAAATACAGCTATCCAATCCAAGCCGGGAAATATTCTGTACAGTAAAAGGTATTTGATTGATTGGTTCCAATGCAATCCGTAAGACATTACATTCTTTGACTCATAAAGCATTGTGAAACCGTTGGCCGGGTTCGCTATCAGCACTTCTGTCCGTCGTCCTTCAGCACGCTAGAATATGCTACAGTAAATGCCCGTGTTTCCTCCGCCTCTACAGTTCAGAGCGTTCGCAGCACGGATGATGTTGAAGAGTATGGATATCATCGTAATAAAACAAGCAAGGAAAAGCGAATTCAAAGACTCGATCCATCAGCCAATTTTCACGTCCTTCAGGGCCGCAAAGTCTCGTCCCCTTCTTCATCCCCGCTCAACTCCATATCGCCATCACTCAGATCGTCCTGAGAAGCCTTTTGAGCCGCATCTCTCTCAGCGTATATTTCTTGTTTCCTCGCCTCCGCTTGTTGTAGGCAATCCACATATGTTCGGAATTTTACAATCTCTCGCAGCAAGTAGGCGCTCTTGCGCTCCCAGTTGGCCATAGCCTTGCCCGCATTGTGACCTCTCGGCGTGAAGGCCAATAACATTGGGCTGCGAAGCTGATTATGAGACTGTAGTTCCTGTTCGATGCTCTTGACATAAGTCGTGAGCGTTTCAAGCTGCTCCGTCTCTGTAGCATTGCTGGAACGCATACTCTGCGTCGGAGGTGCCCACTCGGCAATATGAATGCGATCCCCAGGTAGTTTGCCGCGCCCACTGCTGGTAAAAGGGCCAGCTGCTTGGTCAAAACTTGGGCCGCGGATACTACCACTAGCAGCGCTCGACTTGCGCGCATGCGCAGCGCTGCTACCAGGACGGGAATTTCGTCCTCCGCTCTCGCCGGCCGTTGCAGACTCGTTGATAGCGTTTACCAAAGAATTATTGACAATGGCGCTGCTCCATCCATATTCGATGTTGCTTATTCCACCAACCAGGGGATGGGAACTGAGGCGTGCGCTCCAGTAGTTCGCGGTGTTGACAAACTCTCTGGTAATTTCTGGCGTGCCAACATGGAATAGATGAACAGCCCCCGTTGGTAGACTCAGGGCCCAGACATGCGGCCGTGATCGGGAGTAACCAGGTGGTGGCAAAGCCGAGGCCAGCGTCAAGCGAAGATTGAATGTGCCGAGATTCACCGCATTGTCCTGCCAATTGCCGCCCCCAACAGGCCCGTTTAGCTTGCCCCCCTGCCGAGATCGACTCTTTTGGCGCAAGGATTTGCTCGCATTAAACGAGAACAAGCTAATCTGTCCTTTCTGGACCACAGCAAAGACCTCGGTCCAGTTACGACCCTTTGCTCGTTTCCCATAGCCATCCAAGTGGTGCTTATGCATGACCCTCCCTTCCTTTACCCACGGCGGACCAGCAAGCTCTAGAGATTCGTCTTCTAGGAACTGTGCGGAGGATATGTCAGCACTCACTATGGACGGAACTGTTTCTTGGCCATTCGTATCTACATCACGGATAATGGCCTGACTGAGAGCGTTGGCGAAGCCAATTGATTTCTGATAGTCCCCTCGTGGCATAGAGGAAGCGAAGGAGTCTTGCGACATCGATCCCTGGGTCCTTCCCAGAGAGTGCTTGCTCCATGTTGCGGAAGACATTGCCGGGCTCCACATCGAATTGCCATCGTCGAAGCTGGTGCGGCTTGAAGAAAACCCATTGCGGCCCAGGCCAGGGCGTGATCGGCTTTTTGATGTCCAGCGGGATGTGGTGTTACGGCTGCCATCGGCCACCCGTCCACGAGTGGACAAAGTTTCTGAAGGCGCCTTGCTCAGAACGCTTGGGCTTCTCTTCAGCATGCCAATAACTGACAAGTTGCTCTGGGATGGGGCCACGTTGAGATTTTTTTCCTGTTCTGCCCCGAATAAAGGTAATCGTTGGTCACGAATGGAGGCATATATCGATTTCAGAACAATCTCAACTTGCTCCTCCCAGCCTTTCCTTGGTCCGTTGTAAGGAGACTTGACCAACGGGCCACACTCATCAATGTCATTGTGGTTGGTCTCGTTGCGAGGTAATGGACGAAATGAATGCCTATTCGTACGAGACGGATCCATTGCCTGCCGTGTCGGTTCTGGGGACAGAATTGGGTTCTTCTCGGGGAGAATACTCGGCCGGACAAAAGCTCCGGGAGCCGACTCCGCAACGGCTTGTATAATTGTTGTCATGGTGTTCTTGACGAACTGGCTTCGAGTCATTTTTGATTCAATATCTGCCAGATGGAGATCAGTGTTCAATAACATGATTGAGTAGCAAATCATGTGAATAACATCTAGGGAGTAGTTAGTAATCTTGTGCGAAGAATAATCAGCTCTTCATCCAATGGTGACCCATACCTGTCGCTTTGAAGCCATGCATGGGGTTGCAAATACACCAGCGTTTCGAGAATGCAACCAAGATGCGATCTACCTGTTGAGTCTCGGCGCGAAGGACCAATCGTCCACAGATTTGGCGCAAGGAGACGAGAATATTCAGACCAGCAAAGTCATACATCTCCATATATGCCTGGAGCGTGCGCTGCCGAACTGGACCCTGCTCTCCCATCCACGCAGCAGCCCTGTCCTTTTGAATGAAATCCTCGCCTCCGTCAAATATTCTCCGCGCCTTTTGGCGGTCATCTTCTGTCGGCTCACCAACGGCAAGCCCGGGTTCATCCAAACGCTTGTGCGATTTCATGGATTCCAATGTCGCCAATGCCGTGGAACCAGATTCGTCAATCTCTTCGACAAGTACGCTGGGCGGCGCACTGGGAGCAGTTCTGTAGCCAGTTTCAGTCGAACTCGACGCAAGACTGACAGATCCAACACCATCCGCTGGCAAGTTAAGGCTAGTCTGCGTTGGAAGCTTGCTTCCGTTATCAAAATCCAGCACAGGCTTCTTCCTCCTGGCGCGAATGGTAGCATCTCGGTCTTCGGTGTCTTTCCGTCTTGTTGTTGCTGTTGAAGACGGCTTCTCGCTCTTTTTCTGATGCTTATGACGATGATCCGCATCGTCACTTCCCGCCTCGAAATCCAGTAAGGAATTGTTTGCGTCAAGAGTCTCGTAAGGTTGCTTTGATTTGGGGCGACATGGTGTGCCGTCCATCCGTTCGCTGTCGGATTCAGGGTTGACCTTTCGTATACGGGCATTCGGACTTGGTTCATAGTCCGGAGAGAAATCTCTCTTGTATTCTTCGTTTCTTGTCTCGCCGATGGTGTCGGACTTGGAACTGGGTGTATTGGTAATGTCTGACAGTGGACGTGAAACCGCCACGCCCGTCAGACCAAGTCCAGTAACACCGTCCCGCAGATATGGATTCATGACTTGGCGTAAGCTACTTGTTGGGCTGCCCATATCTTGTCCAGACGGCCCATCTTTGGCTGTTCGGAAGTTTGATGAATCCAAAAGAGGTACTGGCGGTATAAGCTCGGGGTTTGGTAGAGGTTGAGCCTCATCGGCAACCGACTTTTTGCGCCGGCGAAAGAAGGAAGATTTCTTTTGCAGCGTGGGATGTTGATGAGAATGTGATGATGCGACATCTTTTGGAGGGGCAACGGAGGTTGAGGTGGTAGGGGTTGTGGGTTGTTGCTGGTGCAGCAGCGTGCGGTCAGGGGAAGAAATTGGTAAGCGAGAGGAGCTTGTTTGAGGTGCGGAAATACTGCTGTTTGAAGGGGCAGTCGACTTTGACGAGCCGAACACGCGTCTGAAAAATCCAGGTCGCTCTTTCGGTTGATGGTTCGCATTGGCCGTTGTAACAGATTCCTTGGACTTGCCATAGCCCACGCTGGGCGCAGGAGCAGATTCCAAGTCTTCGGCACGCATTGACGGCTGTGCCTGTGCAGAGGCTTGGCGCGCAGTCCCTCCTCGCCTATTTCTACCGGATGAGCTTCTCAAAGATCGACTCGTGCTACGCTTGCGTTCCAGTGTGCGAGGTTCGACTGGCTCCGGGGGTGGTGGTGGAATAGGACGGCCAGAGGCCTCGCGGCGAGGTCCGCTCGGTACCGTTGGTGTCGGGGCGGCGCCGTATTCGTCGCGGGCCATGGCGCCGGCAAAGTCGACGAGGAAAGGAGAAGATACGGATGGCTGTTGGATCTGGGATTGCGACTGAGGTCCGTAGTCGAAACTAGCAGATCGTCCGGTTCTCGGTGCTAATCGCTGGTTCGCCGTGCCGTGGGGATATCCCATATCAAGACTTGCACTGCTGCTGCTCTTGTTGCTTTGTCTACGGCCACGGGTATGACTGCTCCGAGGTGGCGTGCCAGGCTGTGGCTTGTAGGCCGTCTCCCTCATGCTGTTCAGGCGAGGGAATTGGCCCATGACATTATTGGAGGT